AGTTTTTAAATTAAAAATAAATCTAGCCAATTTATGGTCTTCCTGTGTGTTAGTCTCCTGAGCAGATAAGAACGAATTCAGAAAGATTGAGAGAGTTAAGGAAGAAAATCTGTGACAGGGATTGTAAATACGCTTTCGGATTTTATTTGTACAAAGATGTGGTGTGTAATGGATAACATATTAGGTTTTAAAAGACTTTTTTTAGCCTGTTGCAAGAAATGAAATAGACGCACTGTATGTGTGAGTGAGTGAGAGAGATGTTTGTGGTTTGAATAGTATCTCTTGGATTCTAATGCAGTGTTGACCGCGTTCTGTAACACGGAGTCCATTAATCTCTGGGAGGTCTCATTTTAATGAAGCAGTCAGTTCAGCGCCGTGCGTTTGTATCCCACATCCTTCTCGCTTCATATTAGAAATGTACGAGGGCTGAATCTGTTATTAGTTCTTCCGATATCCCTCAGTTATTGAAGGAAATTGATACTTACGTTAATAACTGCCCCTTCACGGTATCAGGCCCAGACGGAGTACGTGAATAAAGAAACGTACAAACGGTATATGCACGGAAATGCTAAATTGCATCGTATTATCACAACCCGGGCGAGAGAGATGACTGTAGCAGAAATAAAGAAGTGAATCAGAAGAAATACGAAGGGAGGAAAGAATCTGTAGCGCATTTCTAAATGATTAAAAAAAACTCATTCCAGCTTAAGACATCTAAACTTGGATACTTTCAAAATGCTAATTCACGGGATAAATTCCATAAATAAGTTCCGCCTTCCAAATAAACCAATGTTTTCTCTCTATGTGCTGAGTTTTTTGTTGTTGTTTCCAGTGCAAATCCCACCTCGTCTCGACCGTCAGTGACGGGACGTTTAAAATATGCCAAACTATAAGAAGATTTCTGTCTTCCGGGTTGTTACGCCATGTAGTCTGGTAGAAGTTAACCAACGTTTCAGAGGGCCTTGCTGTTTCCGTCATCAGGGCGATCGCGTCGGTAAACTTCTACCAGACTACACGGCGTAACAACCCAGAAGATAGCCATCTTCAAACTCACCGCCGTGAAAACCTCAAATCCTACAAACCAAACTAAAACCCTGGCGTAGAATGAACGACTGCGTTAAAATTAATCTTAGGGAAATGGGGTTGGAGGTTGTGGGTTTAATTCATTTGGCTTAGGCTAGGGACCGGTACCCCATTAATGACAGTACCTATGGATAAACATAAAATACACTAGTATAGAAATATCCTATGTTTTCCAAAGTTTGAAGCACAGATGTCAGTCGGCCTGCATACAGAAACTGAGAATCTGCTGAAAAGTGAACAGCATCTGAGCGCTCTGATTCCAGGAGTACTTTATTTTTTATAAAGGGCTAGTAGAACTTACATTTGAATTGCACCTCACACGTTTAACATTCAGAGTAATGTTCGTCTACTGTGCCTCGACTTTTTAAATTCAAATACATTTTTATGCATTCAATAATAGTTCACGAGATGCAATAAGAACTTCATCGTCAGTTTCTGTTGATTCTTTCAAATCATTGCTTTCCCGCTTTTGAAATTTTTGATAGCAAATATTCCACATTTTCTTTAAGTTGCTACGTCATCTGTATTTCTTTTTATTTATTACGTACAGTGATTTTCCGAAAACTGTGTTAATCTTAATATTTATGTCACTCTTGTCATTAATTGTATGTACGTAAAGCAATTCTTCTGTAGTCCAAACAAACAAAAAATACTCATCGCCTATAACTGAGTAGCACAGCAAAAGACTGAAAACTATTAGCACTGGCTGTACATATATGCACGGCACACATGCACGCACACACACATATACAAATAAAATTTATAGCAATAGATTTGTTGTGCTTTGAGGTATTGAACTAACTACATTGTAGTGTGCCACCATGTTGAAAGATCGATAAACACTGATCTCGCGATCGTAACCACAGATTACGTATACCAGTTATAACTGTAAGAATGAGTTAACGTATAAATAAATCCTTCTCTCACACGCTGTTAACAGATTCCAGACCATGCATTATTTCTGTTCGTTTACAATATATCCAGATATATTTTTTATTTAATTTATTTCTATTCTTAGAATATTTAACGACGTTATATCAACTTTATTGTTGTTGCATCTTTGAATGAGATTGGAAAATGACCACGAAATTTCAGCCACTGAATTTTCTTCCGAAAATTAATATTGTGCATTAGTTTGAACAAATACTCTATGTATAATTTCATATTTAGTTTATGTAATAAAGGATAATACCATAATGCTGAATACACATTGGCACTGTTCTACACTAGAAACAAAATGCTTAGAGTTTAGAACCTCTAAAGAAAAGAAGTATAAGAAGAAGAAGAAAAAGAATTTAACAAAAGCGAAACTGGATCTATTAACCAAAGATCCGTCGTGCTGCTTAGGATGACGACTAAATGACTAAAGATGCCTATTCAGAATTCGTTTTGTTAGGAAATGTGTCGACTTATCGACTTCTCTTCACACATAATTAACAATTTATATATGATACCAAGTATTGTTGGCCGCCTATAACAAAGCCCCAAAAGCGAATACCAATTTAATCTTTCCTTCTGTTCTCTCTTTCTATATTTAGGTGCTTATTACATTAATTCTCCTCATAATACTGAAGTAAAACCGCGAATATGCAAAAACGTGGATAACAAAAGCGTGTATAAGGAGAGTCACTTATATCACACTGAATGGGGCTTGCAATAAGGCCTACTTACTTTCAAAAACATAAATCACAGAACTAAGTAACTTTCAATAACACATTATAAAGATTGTCGAATGAATCTCGACAACGAACAATTCCACTTCTGCTATCGAACTCTGAATATCGAACATTGATTTTTCAAAGAAACCTAGGCCTGCGTTTCAGGCATATATAAGCGTTTCCTTCCCTACTAGCACTTTTCACAGATACAGCCTAGACGTGTAAGCTGGCCACTAGCCAGACCTGTCGTCTCCGTTGGCGACATTTACTGCTGAGTGAAAATAGCCAACAAATTTGGTCCTTGATTAAGAGGTGCATGCGTCTAAAAATGAACTAACCAACGCTTTATTGCACATTTTAAAAATGCATAAATCATATACAACTAAGCTACTAGTTTACGTACGGTGTAATTCATTTGTAATTTGTGAGATTTAATATTCTCACGGCGGTCAATATAAAGATGACTGTCTTCTGGGTTATTGCGTCTTGTAATCAGGTAGACGTCAGCACAGTTCTGAAAATCTTATTCGCATTTGTAAGGTACCCAGTTCTTCTCCCGACTATCTAGACTGGGGCATTTCATAGCTTTCCTCCAGCCTTACAGTAAAATCATATTTTGAAATAGGTCAAGGCCACTTCCAACACTACTCTTGATTCGTAATTCATAATTATCCTACATTCTGTCATTCGCTGCTATACAGATATAAACTTGGCAGTTGACATGATATAGTACAGTAAATAAAACACCAAACAGAAGAAAATTCTACAGACTACAAATTTAAATAGGGCTCATGAACTGCGGTAAGTATAAGAAGTCACTACTTTGAAAGTATTAGTTATTTAAGGAGGATGTTACAGAGTGTATTCGTTGAAGCTCGAACAATGGGAACGTTCCCTTTACAGCACCTGCACATTAATAATGTAATTATCCGATTTATGAACCCCGACCTATCACGCTCTGGGGGACCGTAAATTTTAACTTTGATCCCAGTGACTTCACTCAAGAACTGTGTGGAAAACATTAAATATTTATTCGCATTCTGAAGGCCCTTCTCTGTGACCTATTTTGTATTCCATCCTGTCCACTATGCTGATTATTTCTTACTATAGTAGTCGTCATGAAATCAGATGTTCCAAGGTCATATCAATATCATACAATCTTCATCACCAGCGGCTTAACACAGACGGTTTTGGTGGAGTTATATTCATTGCTGGACTTTGTACTGCAATCTGCTGTAACATTTACATTTGTAAGAAGATGAATGGGAAATGTGGGTCACTGCACACTCCGGTTCTTTGTCAATATAACCCGTACACTACAATATATTTGCATGACGTATTATTACACTCGAACTCCGATATACAAAACACGCTCCCGCTGATGTTTATAGCGTTTTGTTGTAATTTATATTTCCAGACTGTTCAGGCTTCTCAGAAATATCGTTGATGAAATTTATATACGTTTTATATAATCGATTACAATGGCTTTTGTAAGATTTTTCAAATTTGCACCATTTGCTGTAGTTGTAACAACTGAGGACGTCTCAGAATATACTTCCATATCAGTACATACACTGGTTTCTGTACATGTGAAAAACGAATAGGAATAATACAATATAAAATTCAGAGCACAAGAACGCCACGGAGTACATACGTCACAGCTCGAAGAACAGAAAATTTGGCAATACAGCACTGTACCAAAGTGCCACGTGGTGGAGGTTGTGGCACGAGATCAACTCGTTCCGTGGCCTTGAAGCATACAAAATCCTGACGGCTACTGTAGTAAAGTGCGAAGAAGGAAAGTCAAAAGCTTATGAATGTAACTGGAGATTGTGTTCGACTGTTGCGATGGGATGAGACTGTGTCTATGTGGAACTGAGCCTATAAACGATCCTTATAACTGGAGAATACTCAGAGTTTTTGACATCTGAGATTCTGAAGGGGGTGAAAATATCGATTCTGGTCTTCTGGGTTGTGATGCCGAGTACATGAATGGTTGCACCCGCAACTACTCCACAGATTTAATAAGATTTGAGGGTGAAATTTATGTTGGTCGTATGGATAGTAACGCCGTGTGGACTTGTAGGTAGATACTAACGTTTCGGAGGAACATCCAGGGCTGAACATACACAGAATTCCATATCTCTCTTGAATTGATAACAAGTGCTGTGATAATTACTCAAAATTTAACTTACTCCATTTTCGGTGTCCAGAAGCAAAGAGTTTGCCTCATTGGGATATCGAACTTCTGTGTTTCAGCTTCAGCATGTCTTCAGTACATGATTACTGGCAGCAGTCTCATAAAGGTGAAGCAGAATTCGAAGCAATACCATCGCTTCTTCACCCTTTCTGAAGACCTCAACGCCATACGTTGGACTCCTACGTCCAAGAAATCTTCCAAAGCTGTAGGTAAGAGAAAATACTTGTCATTTCACCCAAGCAAGAGGGCAAAAGAAACACAGCTCAAATTGCTACTTTTCACTGTCTAAATCAGCGTGGACCAACTAGCGGCCCGAGGGCTACATCCAGCCCGAGATCACTTAAGATCAGGCCAGCGAAATTACTTGTTAATTTATTGCTAGTTAATATAAGCTCTTTTCTTCCAAGTATTTTAAAAATTGTGATTCTTAACTCGTCTGATACTTTTCATACAAGTGTCACGCATACTATTGTCTTCAACATGCTATCGTAAAATATGTTTCCACGAGAAAAAAAATTGCGTTAGTTACTGGCCGATGCAAGAGTAAATTTAAAATAATGTGCAACTCTGTAGCAATTTGTGCAAATGTAAAAAATATATATTTATTTGAGTACGTACTGTTGTAATTTGTAATATTTGTCTTCTGTTTCGTATGGGTGTTGAGTCGTGGTCTCTTAATGGAAGAACATATAAAATGTGTTTAAAACAGCGCACAGGAGAATATTTAGGCATAAGAAGAATGAGGCAAGTGAGCAAATTAAAATAGCTTTTTATACATCTGTCCTAAAAGATATATACACATTATAATACAGAATATTAACCTCGTGTACACACATCTTTCTGGGGCACCTGTATAAAACGTGAACTTTGTGGTTGATACAGGTCACCTAGTTCTAATATTGTAGAATTTTGAAATTAGGCAGGCTACGACAGCCTGAAGAAGTAACGAAAACAGGGAAGACAAGAAATAGTAAAAACTTCTTGGAAAACGTCAATTTTGAAGACCAGGACGGAAATGGGAGTATAACATTAACATAGATGTTTGAGAAGAGAAATGGGGGGGGATTTTTTTTATAGAACTGCCTCAGAATCGTGTCTAAAGGTGAGGTTTGAAATTAGTGGCATTCAGCGTAAGGTTTCTGTTCTTATACTGTATACAGTACATTTTCCGGTCAGGTAGGCTCATCTGAAAAAGAGAAATGCGCGCATTATATCCGGGAAAATACGACAGTTCCGATAATGTGCTTCTTCATAGACCATGAATAGGAAAGAAATCTGTTGACAGTAAAAACTATCCTTACAATATTCTGTCACGTTTCGAAGTACTGAAGTGCGTCATTTTCTTTAAACCTCCCTTACCCTACTCCGTTCTTCTTCCATGATATGATTTACTGAATTGAGGAATTTCCCCGTATTTGTGTCGTCCATCCGGTACACCAAAAATGTGTCTACCTTTCATAAATCATATACTGAAAGTGAGTAGGTCCATTACTTGAAATTTATTCCTTAGTAACAATGTTGTTTGTACGCTTATTAACAAATATAATTTATTGATAATTCAAAAACATACTTCTGGGTTTTCATCAGTCGAAATTATGAGCTACTACTGAAACATAAATTAACGAAGGCATCTCTCTTCTAAATTTAAATTTCCACTGAAAATGTTAGAAGAACAAAAGGCACTCAATGAACTAATAAAAACGCCAGAAAAAGAAGCTTATGTCATATGTGCAGTAAACGTTCTACGTTTTTTTTTATTGAGCAGTCAATTTAACGTAACGCAGCTAAAGTTGTAACCAATAATCGGAAAATTCTTTCGCGAAATTCCTCTTCCCGCTACTACAAAGTTTCTACATTCGTTTCTACCATAAATCACTGAATTCGTGGTACGTTACAATGTCCATCTATTATAATTTTAATGCCGGTTACAAAATAAATATGCCCCATGGCAGAAGACGGAATTTTAACCATTGGCCCACCCTCTTTGAACCCGGCCATCACACATTTATTCATATAGTCAGTCAGTTTTGAAACATCGCTGCTTATGGGAATTTCTAAGGACATAAATGACGGAAAACAAAATTATAATCGAAAGTGTAACAAGTGGCCTATCTGATAATAACAGAAATTTGTTTAATTTTATAGTGATGAAGCCTGCACTAGGATTTTCACATTACTCTTTAGAATTTAGGTTTTCACGGCGCTAAGGATAATGATCCGGATTTTAGCGCCGTGTAGGCTCATTAGCATCCACCGGCGAGTCTAAAAAACCTGAACACCACCTGCATAACTCTTCTTATCGATTATTATTTTCTTACCATGTGCTGCTATAAACAATGTTCTTACGGCCGCTGGAAAAACATTAAACGTTGGTTCCTCACTCCGTCAGAGACAATTTTCGTTACCGAGTTATTCAGTTGCGCAGGACGTAAACCAATTAACCAATTGTACCACTGATATTTACCGCTGCATCTACGAGCTACACCGCACGAATCTCGACCGGTATCGACGATCCTAACAATCTGTCTTCTCAGATAAATTCCGAAATAATACAATGCAGAAATGACGTGTGATCTGGTCTGGACCACTTCCTTCACGCCGCTGCTGACCAGCAGAGACGGAGAAAATGAAAGCTTATTAACAGCGCCTTCAAGTAAAAAGAACAAACATCTAATTTCAGGCCAATAACGTCACTAAAATGGATATCACAGTTCTTAAGTAACAACTAGCCAACGCCATGATACGGAATCCTTCTTGAGAAGCTGACAGTCGTCCACCTGATTAAGAAATGTCCTGTATGTTACGGGACCCGAAGGTTAATTAGTGTTCATAAGGGCATGCCACTGGACCATATCTTGCGCCAGTTGAATCCAGTTCATCATAAGGGCATGCCACTGGACCATATCCTGCGCCAGTTGAATCCAGTTCACTAATTCTTTAAAATCCATTTTAATATTATCTTTCCATCCTCGCCAAAGTTCAAGTGGTCTGTCTTCTTCAGGTTTACGACTATAATTTTTTTCCATATCTCATCTGTGCCCCCATTTTATCCCCCGCGATTTGATAGTTCTAATAATACTGGGTGTCTGAAAATTGTTAATACTTTGATGTTTTAAAATATGTTAAGTGTTAGATGTTTTAAACACCCAAGATTTTAATGTTTTTAAATACCATATACCTGGTAAAGAGTAGTTCTATAAATAAAGCTGCTCGTTATGTAATTGTTTTCGTCCTCCTGTTACATCGTCTTTATTAAGTCCAATATTCTCTTCGACACTATGTTCTCAAACACCCTCGTGTGCGTCATTTGAGGCAAGAAACCAAGATTTACAGCCGTATAAAACAACAAGAAACCATTTTTGTACTTCAGTCTTCAGTGTTTAAAATAGAAGACAGTGAGATAAATAATTCTGAACTCAATGGCAGCACGCATTCCGTTAAATCAATTTTCTCTTAATTTAATTTTACGTTGCTTAGGCCGTGAAAAAACACTCCAAGTCATAGGTTCTTCAAAATATTCCTCAGGACTCGCCAAATGTTGTAACAAGAGACTCATCTTATGTACCAACTAGTAAATCTCCCACCAACAATGACCGCAAAATATGAAGTGTAAACACACATAGTCATATACATTCGATAAGGCCCAAAATCCTTTGCCAGCATCACCATGGCAGCGCTTATAACACACATTCATAAATATTATCCCATAAGGCCGAATATCCCTTAACAATAAATGATCACCAACCAACATACAGAAAGACCAATATTCCTTAACAACACTACCATGGCAATGATTACAACACATATATCTATAGTATCCCTTTAGGCCCAAAACAACAGAAAATTACCACCAACCAAGCTACCAACACTTGCTTATTATATGGATATTGAGGTCAAAAGGTACATTTATTCTGTCTACCCCCTCCACTCTAGGTTTTTTTTAAATACCAAAGATCACACGCATTCGACGGCTACACTTTTTATATAAGATTCCATGGTGACCAGGTTCATCCCTTTGCGAAAGCAACCACATTTTTCAGTCACAAAGTCTCACTGGTGACCAGGTTCATCCCTTTGCGAAATCAACCACATTTTTCAGTCACAAACTTTCAGACAAGACGTGTCCAATCGGAGATAAAAATATCCGCATTGGAACAAAGTTGTACTTCAGGTGGTACAACCTTAGACATAACACAGGCCTTTCAAATCTGATCGCGATCCGTAAATTGACAGTGTAACTTCCATACTAAAAAGTTTAATAACTTATTTTACGAAGAAAGATGTACAAATATTTTCAAAATGTGTTATTTGCAATGATCCTGGCGTTTGTTTACTGCAGATGTAGGTTGCTGCTGGTTGAGCTAATCAGTACTCAGATGAAGTCTCATGTCCTACTGCTGACACAGCAGACATACACACGTATTAACCTACTTTTTAAAGGCATAAGAGCCTATAATCCTTGAATTTGATTTAAAATTCTCATACTATATCCTGTTTCAAACAAATTAACAATTTCTACAATGACTTTTCTTCGATTATTGTTCTTAAGAAATCTGTTAATAGTTCAGTTTGAAGAGTGTGTAAAGAATTTTATTGGACTGTTACTGACAGAAATTACACTGCCTCGCTTACATTTAGTGTAGATACACACACCAGATGTTATCAAAATACGTTGTATAATTCTGAGGATAAAACATGAAAGGTCGGACGTTAATTTTAAGACTTATTTACAAAAATATATATAATTTAAAGTTTACGTCTACCTTCCTTTGACCCCTAGGCCCTATTGTAACATTTTAGGTACACTAGGTGAGATTTAAGATTTTCACGGCGGCCTCGGATGAAGATTTTCTAGTTTTGTCGCTTGTAGACTGGTCGGTAGGTGTCATCATTTCCGAGAAACAATTTCCGCAGCCCTGAAGATGGAGACAGTAAGCATCTCCGAAACTTTGACATCTACCGACGAGTCTACGCGGCCACAGAATCGAGAAAAACATAATAACTTCTGAAACATGTCACTTTTATAAGTACACAACTTTTTCATTATTAGGCTTATTGACGTAAAAATATCTTATCTAATACATCTGGTGAGAACCATAAAATAAGGCTGATATCCATTTGTTCGAAAGATAATGTACAGTGCTGAATTAAAAGTACTGATTTAAATGCAAATTAATACAGTATGGATTCTATCCGATACCGAGGACAAGCTTTGTTCACACCAACACTTTGTGATAATTCAGAAACTCACGCCATTATTTCTCATTCCCTACTGTATTTCCCTGCTACAACTGGACACTTTATGAACGTTTCCTGAGAGAGGAAATAATACAGCAGTTATAGTGAACAGAAATAGTCTAATTATGATTACTGCTGCGATACGCTACATACATCGTTTCACTTGCTGAATTGCAAGCAATGGCCTGTTTATTAAGTACAAAGGGGAAAATGTCTACCTGAATTATAAGCCCTTAAAACATTAATTCTGGGTTTAGAGAGAACGTTGCTGTCTGGTGTGGCCTATATAGTACGGGTTATTGGATTGGTTAAAGTTCAAGAGTGAGACGATCAATGGTAAATTATTTGCTTTGGTGTACACTGTAGTGCAATTTAATAGTAGTGTAAAATCGTGTAAAATAATTTATTGTAATGTAATGCTCTACTGTCTAGTATAGTGTTGAAGGCTATATAAGATTCGCTACGCTGTTTCTTAAAAGAACTGAATAAAGTTTGCACTGAGACCTCTGTGTCCGTGATAAGCAAAAGTTTCGAAAGACAACATTTTACACGGTCATGTCACCAATTAATAAATGTACGATTTACATACAATAAAAGTCAAGACAAGATCTAATTGCGGCAGACGTCTCAGAACCGACTTAATACGTTCATTGGCAAAGAAGCGGCCAACTTGTGTGATGACAACTGTATGAATTGGCGACGGTCGATGATATATTTAACGACACTCTGTTAACTTCATATGTTGTGTAGCGTTGTGAGGTAGGGAGAATGTGAATGGTGAATTTTTCCGATGTCTTAGCAACTAAAAGTTCCAAAAATGTTTCTATTAGATTCGCCACATCTGTTTGTCTGTCTGTGCCTGCATATAACTCGAGAGGCGCTATTTTTAGAAATTCTGTATCGGAGAGTTTTGTTAAGATTTGTCGACACGTTAAGATTGGACAATAATAAAGAATATTTTACTTTAAGACGTACGTACGCTTCTGAGTCTGGGTCAGGAATTCCCTAATGGGAAATTCAAAAACTAAAATTATGACCATGGGAAATTCACCGCGCGAGAATCTCCAGATATCAGCGCAACCATATGGGGAATCCTCCGTGAATACGTCACCATCCACAAAGATGCCAGACATCCCGCCCATCCTTACATCTATGGCATCACTGTCGTCATTCATAAACGGCAGAGGTCAAATCCGTCGAATGCCGAAAAGTTTACGCTATACGTATATTTCCTCATTTGTTAATATTATGAACAAATTGGTTATCTACTTGTGGTGCTATTTCAGAATTTATCAACAGGGGATGAGAAAAACCAAGATGCTTCGATCTGGCCAAGATGTGGAACTTGGATACGAATCAACAGTGCTGTCCTCTCAACCGCGACTTTCAGTGCGCCCAGGATGGCAGTTATTTTTGCAAACCCCAAATAACCTATATTCAGTACTTGTTTGTTTCATACGTGTTGTGACTGAAGCTCTTTGTACGATTTCCAACACCCACATCAAAATTTACTATCATAATTGAATACGAGCATAGCAAACATTTGCCTGACGACCAATACCTAGCAGCTGAATCTCTATGGAGAAGGTTATCAAGATTCTCGACCCGTAATATTTGGCAAGGTTATTTTTCTTCCGGTCTTTCTCCCAAACTCAGTCTATCTTGAATACGTGTCAAAATATATGTCTACGTCATAAATTTTAAATCGAGGACCAATTTATTAAGAGATGAAGTTTTTGTACATCCTTTGAAAGGAAAAGAGGAGGAATGGGGAAAATTCTGTACGATACAGCATGGTAATGCTACGAAGATAAATATATATACTAGGCCCGTATTTCACTTAGAGTAAGTAAACATTTTAGTACGTCCTATTTGCCATGCATAATCCATAAATGAAAGGGTACGTAACTCTCGAAAGCTCCAGAGAGACAGAGAGAGACAGAGAGAGAGAGAGACAGACAGAAAGAGAAAATGAGGGGTTCTGATAGATTTACTAAAACAAAGAATAAGGGAACTCTCCAAATCCCTTATTTAAGCCCTTTCGTACTTGATTTATATCTAAAACTGAAAATATTTAAATGCGTACAATATGCACTGCCAACACACCAAATATTGTTAAAGTTTTTCCTCTGGGTGCAAACACCGTGTGGAAGCGAGTTATGTTACAGAAGTTTCAGAGGAAAATGCTGCCTTCAGGAGCGAAATGTGGGATTTTAATATAGTTCGGGTGATGTACAGACAACCAGCAAACAAAGGCTGCATCGCCGTAAACAGTAAATCACTGCAGAAGCTTAAATTCACTTACTATATTCAACATTTATCCATGGGGACAATCTCTGCTCAGCATTGAATACAGAACATCTAATCCCACAGTTTATAAAACCACGAACCACAGTAAAAAAAAGAAAAGAAATACGTTTATTAAAACAGCTGTCTGCCTACAGAAACGTCCCAGTTGTTTGTATCCTTGGAATATTTAATAATAAAGATGGCTTCTTTCTGGAATGTGCAGCATTCCAGAAAGCAACCATTTTCATGATCGTCATCGTGATAACCTAAATCTCACACATTTGATAAATGATCATCTAATAACAAGGGTAAAACTGCGCGGTGTAAGGCGGAAAGTTGATGATGAATTCTGAATAAATCGAGATGTGAAACAAAGCGCTTTAAAGTACGAGTCCTACTGAAAGTCGTTAGTCCGCAATACGTATATAACGTGCCTTCGATTCAAGAATGCAAGGCTTGCGTTAATTCTGCAATAATGTGATTAAGATTCTTTTTCAAATTTTAAAATATTGATAACTAAATTATTAATATCTGACACGTTATAATTAGACTTATCTACACAGTGTGTGCGTTAAGAATGCCCCGCCCTTCCAAAACAGAAATATTTTTGACTAGTAGATGTGTTGCGCCTAAACATACCACATACACTTACCAGCATCACTGAGGTGTCAAACAAGTTGCCATACTATCACGGCGCTTATAGTAACACAAATACACACGAAATTGGAGAAGATTTAATTAACCGTTCGCATGCTGTTTATTTACAAGCTTGAAGATGACTGTCTACTAAAATGTCGCGTCTCCTAGTCTGGTATAAGTCTACAGACGTTTCAGAGGCATCATTAAAGCAGGTTAATAAACTCAGGATTGACCAAATGAGATGCTAGTCTTCGGGGTCGTTGTGCCGTGTAGTCTAGTAGAAGCTTACCGACATTTCAGAGGGGCCTGTTGCTGATGATGATGGAGGCAGCAAACACCCCTGAAACGTCCTCAGGGCTAACTAGATCAAAAAATTATTTCGAATGATTTATCGTGCTATAAATGTACAAATGGCTCTTCTCAAGCAGAAATCGACATCTCTTTTCTTCTAAAGAACAGACAAGAGCTAGAAGTTTGTACAGTATATGGTAGATGTACAATACAGGCCTCATGAAAATGCAAAAACACTACTGTATCTCACAATTTTTTGTAGGTTAGCATTGAGATAAAAGGAGATTGGAGATAGATGATTGATTTCTCTGTGCAATGTTAGTATCTATATGCAGGCCTACTTAGTTCTACAACCGACAGATTTGTAACTCCAGTAAATTTGCAACACCAATGCTTAATGTAAAATCGTAAGGGACACATTTGATAATAAATAATTATTATATGTGTTGTTGTTCCTTGGCTCAATAACCCAGTTGTGGGTCTTCGCCGCCTACTTTTTTCGGAGGTTTCCTAGTCAATTATTATATATAATCCGTTCAAGCTGCAGAATTACATCTTTTTCACTCTTATATTCAGTACAGTTTCTGCTCTTGAGCAAGTTACATTACCGACTGAAACAATGTGTGTTTATCCTTTCTTACAGTGCCAATTGACAGCATAAAGGAAATACGAGTAGGAAAAAGCACGGAAGTTCTTCGAACCCGGGAGTTGTCTTCTGGACATACAGAAGAATGCGCCTTTTCTATAATCTACGGCGATGATTTTGAGTCTTTGGACTTGGTGGCTTCAACACCTGAGGAGGCCAACATCTGGGTCACCGGACTGAATGCACTTATTGGCGCCCATATATGTAAGTATCTGCAGTTGAAATTGTGGATCGTGTATTGAAATTCATTGCCAAAAGCCCGAAAACGAAATACAGAAAACTACATTTCCATCTTTTACACGAGCGTAAAACATGGCCTCTCGCTCCAGGGAAATAACACAAAATGAGGGTACAATGCAGAATATTTGAACTTAAGAGAGAATAAGCGAAAAGGGGAATGAGGGTACAATGCAGAATATTTGAACCTAAGAGAGAATAAGCGAAAAGTGGGGTGATCAAAAATACCTAGTGGGGAGTTTCATAATTTATACTCTCATCAGCCTAATATTAACTAATATTTTCGAAAAATAAAATGTATGGTTATGCAAAGAATTAAACTGGATATAGATTAATTCTAATGAACTCAAAGGTTGTGGAAACGGGTTGGCTGGTGGACCCTATGGTAGACCCAAGGGACATTGATATTTGGGAAAATAATTTCTCGAATGATGGCTGACTGGGGAAAACCGAAGTACTCGGACACATCGCCCTGATGAAGGATACAGCAAAGATCTCTGAAACGTCAGTAAACTCCTACTAGACAACACGGTGCAATATCCCAGAACACAAGTCACCTTCATACTCTTCGCCATGAGAACCTGAAATCTCACCACGTCACCAATCTCGTTTCTATAAGTGAATTTAATTTAACTTTTATTGAAAATGTTAAAATTGTGTAGTCTGCTGGGGGTGTTGAAAATATCCGACGTTTCAGAGGACCTTTCTGCCTTGTAATCAGGGTAAAGTGGAATAAGTTCCTCAGACATGTCACTAATTGTTGATATTTCGATATGGTGTAATACTCAGCAGCTGTCATAAGAACACTAAGTCTCATACGAGAATTATTATTTTATGTAAATTTTAAACACAATGAATGTTATAGCTCCAAATGGCCTGGAACAGAAAGAGGCTCTGCGGGAACGATGGCTGCGGGAGATGTTCGAGCAAGCCGCCACGGACGAGTCGGGGTGCATGGACGAGAAAACTGCCATCAGCCTCATCCAAAAGCTCAGCTGCAGCGGCCACGTCACTACCGTCCGCATCAAGCAGAAACTGGCGGTAAGTCTCGCACACGTGTCTGTACATCCCCATATTTAATCTCCGGTACAATAAAGTGTTCTGAAAGGATTTTGACTAATTTCGGTATTCGGGATGCACAATAAACTTTGTCGGTTGGTGTCTTAACACCATCTGCTTTAACGGACTACGACCAAAGGTTTTTTCGAAAACAGAGAAACGAAATTATAAATCCGTTGGGACATTTGGTATTCCTCCTTATGTGGGTGATCAGCCCGACGCCAGGGCTCCATCCGAACGGGATAACACAACACAAAAACTCGCGGGCAAATATCAACGCCAAGAGTGGGACTCAAATTCACGGTCTCAGTGTCCCAGAGGTTAAAATCCCCGCCCTAAACAGTGCGGTTACATTCAAACATGAAATTAACACTGGAAAGGTAGAAAGACTGACATATCAAAAGTGTTTCTTACGTACATCACGTTGGTTATTGTTGCATTGCACCCGTTTCCCTATTACAACTGCCTCGCCAACTCCAAATGTGCGGAAGGTACTGTCCCGGAATTTGCCAGGAGAGACTGACAAAACCCACGAAAAGCCTCAGTCACGATACCTACTACTGGGCCGAGATTTGAACGCGGGACCTCCCGAACATGAAACAAGATTGCCGACTACTAGACCACGGAGTTCATTTGGAAAAATCATTTAAGCCAACTCCACGCATCACCACTGGATTTTTGTATTGAGGCAGCCTCAAGTTAATGCTTTATGAATTTATACAATGTGATTAATATTAGCGGCTGAAATGAGATTTATGAGAACAGCGTGTGTGTATGTTTTGATACGACATGGGTAATCAGCCATACTTTCACAGCAGTGTGCGATGTTAAAATCAATAAATGGCGGTCTTATTCTGGCTTTGCTGCTATGACAGCCATACATTGACTGGTAAAATGGTAATAGGATGCATTTCTTAAATTTTCAACATAAAAACTCATAATATGATCAGAAAATGTATTTTTACCAGCAGGATCCTAGAAATAATTTCCATATAAATTTAATTTGTACACACAGGCCTTGCTACTCAACTCACATAAAATGACTGGTCACTTATTTATCTCTAATCTAATTTTCTTACCACGTATTTCTTGATTTTTCAATAGGATTCTTCATGAGTTTCTGAACTAACGTTTGTGTAGATTTCCTGTTTATGAATATGGCCGCAAACCTTTCATTCAACATTTCTATTCCCCCTCCCCAAAAGTCACAATAAACTGCAGGAAAACGGAAATATCTACACAGGTAAATATAATCTTATGTCACATCAATATTTTTATTCTTTAGGAAACTATCCATTCCAGAACATTGTGTTTCTGATCTCCTGGGTCCTAAATTTCCTTCAACAACAAAGTTTCATTAATCCAATCCATGGAGCAGACTAATTGCAAGTACTACATACTAAAGGTTTTGTTTGGGTAGACAAGTCAGAAATCAATTATCTCTCTTGAAAGGTTTGATGTTAAGACACATATATACCTCTTTCATATTGTACAGTCCGTTTCAGTAAGGAAAAAGGATACTAGACTAGACTAGACGGCTATCATTTGCTGCTCTCAGACTATTACAGGAAGCTTGGTTCAATGAATTCCAGACAAAGAGACCAAAAGATTTTGGACCATTCCACTTGATTGTCATTTATGATATCATGACAAATATCTTTTCTGAACCATTGATAATGCAGCGTTTCCTACCACCAATCACTCAGACCACTTAGACATCAAGTACTTAACATCTACTCGGAACCAAGTCAAGTACCAGTTCAAACGTACGAGGCAAAGTGGCCTCAACGGCTAAGCCTCTTATCTTGGAGACATATACAGAGGGAGAGGCAAAGATTAACGTATTCCAGAAACCCACACTAAATGAACTTCAGAGAGCTTATTCACCTGATCATGAATTGTCTTGTTGTCGCGGAATCGAAAGGTTCATTAAAGGGGTCACTTTAGTTCTTGATCAGAGAGTCCTAAAGCAATTAGGTGACTGTCTTCTGGATTGTAGCGCCGTGTAGTCCAGCAGAAGTCTACCGACGTTTCAGTGGACCTCTGAAACGTCGGTATAAAGCCATCTTTGTACTCGCCGTCGTGAGAACCTCAAATCCTACGTCTAGCAATTAAATTAATTTTGCATAACCAATCTGTTAAATGTCCATTTAATATTATCGCCCTACATACGCTTTGCTCTGCGTAGAGTTCCCACAACTTTTCCAATCTGCGTACAGTAATCCCTCAATTAATAAGCGGAAGGGGTGTCCGGTAATGCCGATTGTCCATTAAATTGCACAGTTTTTACTATGCCATCAAATGCATCCTCAGACCATGATTTCAATCAGGGCTACCATTAAACGGATTAGTAATATGAACTAAACATCTACAATGACACAAGGTTCATTAAAACACTACAGCTGAAAGAGATAATTAAGAGCCAAAAAATTCAACAGTCCAGAAAAAAATCGGCAATACCATGCGGTGACCATTAAATCGAGGTTTCACTGTAATTTAAAGCTATAACAGGCCAAAGTAGGCTTACCCGGGTATGAATTTGGGCCTTTTGTGCTGTGCGGCAGCACGCCCAATTGTGCATTAAGTTCTGTAATTTGTATTTGGAACATTTTTCGTTTCGGCGTGCAATTACAGAAACTCGAGGAAAATACCTCATGTGTTTGTGCAGAGTCACGTCTCAAACGTTAAATACATTTGTCAGGAATATATTTTACGGATGATACAGTGCAGTGTTTGTAAACTTAGTACACTTTTCCATTTTTGTGGAAAATGACCTCGGGATAAGAAGCTTTAAAATCTGTACTCTACTTTTCATGCAATTCTATTAGGGCGATTAACTGAAGAAGACGATATGAGCAGAACATGTGAAAGATCTTGGCGTAGATGGTTTGATACCATTAAAATGGGCGTAAAAATCACAGGCCATGTGGTTATAAAGTGGCTTAAATTTGGTCAGGTTGGGCTCCTGAAGTGGGCTTTCGCAAACACGGAAATAAACAAAGATAAACAGAAACTTGCTGGACTGAGTAATTAATCAAGTTTTCAAGAATGGCCCATCGCCACGGACTTAATTCTAGAGTCTGCTCGTTAGTAAATGGCAGAATTACTTTGACCGCCCGCCCATTCATTCACTTACACACAAACTCACATTTGCATTTACACTCGGTGTATAATTGTATCGAAACATGACATTTTCCACCTCTCAATAGAGTTAAGTTGAACTTAAATTAGAATTCCACATGTGGCCTGCTGCTGAGTTTCCAGGATTATGTTACTGCATTTAATGGCTTCTTCCCTCTCGCCCTGAGAAGGTTTCTTATTTGCCCACTTCGGATAATGTCATATTATGCATATACTATTGCCTGCTGATTCGATGACAACATTCCTTTATTGTACATACTGGGAACGACCCGTTCTTCAAGTGCCTGAGCACTGCGGGTCCCAAATTTTTGTTGGCTCGATCTATGGACATTCGGTAGGACTCCTTGGACCAGGGATAGGCCCGTCGCAAGGCCTCTACCTGTACACAGGACAGCACAACACAGAAAAACGCGGACAAACATCCATGGCTTGAGAGGGATTCGAACCCACGGTCCCAGCGACCGCGCGGCCACTGCGGACCCCTTTATTGTACATACCCTCTTTATGTATCGAAGCTGTGCGTCTTAGTGTTCAGAGAGGCTCACCGTAAGATATTCTGAGCCAATCATAGCTTCAACCCTACTTCTCTGAAATTTCACTGAATTTTGCAGTTGCTTTTGCATTCAGGAGCTAACATTTCGAATTTTAATATTGCTAACACTAAAGGCCATCATGTGATACAATCGTATATGTGCCAGTCTGATGTAGATAGTGTCCCTAAGACTCATTTTAAATTTATCTACCAACTTTTTTTCTTTGTCTTGAAGTGGCCACTTTCAAAGAATTTATTTTTATTTATAATTTATTTAAGGACGCTTTTTTCAATAGCTCAGACTGTATAGCTTTAAATGACAGATTGATAGTGAATAATGAATTATAATGAATTGAAATGAATGTGGAAGAAACCGACAAGTTTGAACGTTTAGGCTCCGTGGTACGTTCTAGAAATATAACACAAGTTTTACTCTATAATAAATTCTGTTCATCATATCTTATATATTTACTTTCTTTCAGGAAGTTCATCAAATGAAGAATGATGGCAGAAGACGGACCATAGATAGCAAAGAATTTATCGACATGTTCAAGGAGATCGCAACAAGACCAGAGGTGTACTTTCTGCTCATTAGGTGAGGACCAATTATAAATGTTATGAAAATGCTTAGACTATGGGCATGTAAGACAATGGAAAACGATGGCCTTTTTCATTATGAATACAAATTTTATAACACTTAGACATTATGTTATAACCATGAAAGCATAAATCATTATAATTAGCAGTCTGACAGGGCCTATATCTGCCCATTTTTAACATAATAAAATCCAAAATACTGATGAATATTAATTCAGTAAATCAACTGATGTTATTAATCAGTATCTGCTACACAACCATGATCTGGTCATTGCTTTGTGGCTCATCTCTTTACTGCATGCATGCAAAATATTTTATTTCAAATCTTTTCTCCTTTCTTTATTTTGTCCACAATATTTTCCCTTGTAAATCTTTGTTCCTAAAAAAGGGATTATGCTACACATAAGAAGAATGTACCTGTCTCACCATCTGTATCTTTAATCTCTGAAACAACTAAATCAATTTAATAAAATTTGGAACACTGAAAGTAAAGTATTAAATATAACTGTGGTGTTTACCCCCTGCTTTATATAAGCTTAAATTAAACTTGACTGATTTTCTGAAAGTGGTTTAACATACATAAAATCAATATGTGATATAAATTACAGACCTCATTATGATACGAGTTTCATTTTAAACATGTTTCTGTGATGTGATCAGCTTTGCAACAACTAAACATCAAGACATACAAAATAACAAAAAATGCATTTGGGAAATATTCCACTCCAGGTCATTTCACTCCCAGATTGGTACCTAAACTACCCCACTTCCTACTGATTCACTTTTCATAATAACCCACATAATCTCAATATTAAATCATCGTCATTTGATTCATGTATCACTGAGATTTCATTCCCATGAGATCTGCAAGGTAAGTGGAGATAAAGTGGCATGGATAAGTTCCAGTACACAAGAGCCAAAGCACTGGAAATGTGAAGCTAATGTAACAAAATGAGATATTTTACGACTTACAAAACATACATTCCTTTGCCTAAATGTGTCAGAAAAAATACCATACACTGTGTCGAGACAGTTACTGCCTATCTACTGTTATGTAGTCCAACTGAACCAGTTTTTAAACATCATTAATACCTGCAACAGGACAAGGTACTTAGCCAGTTCCATCAATCGACCATGATCACGATTTCTCTCCCTCAGACACATCTTAACTTTATCCTTACATACCCTCCACAGTCTCACAAGCAATAATTTTTGAATTAATATAAAACTAGGTTAAAATTACAGGACAAAAAACCCTTTTGACAAAATAAGTTTATAAAATATGAAATTTAAAGATTTTAAATATTAAAAAAATTGTAACACTCGAATATTGATAATGTCAGTTTTTATACGCTAAATTTAAAAGAAGACAGCTGTAATTACAAGGCTAACTGAGTGCAAATGATATATGGGGTACACACTGATGACTGGTTTAATGCCTGAAACAAAAGAGTAAATAATGGTGGGAGTCAGGGTAGCTCACTAAGTACAATTACTGACTACAGAGTGGACAACCAAGGGTTTAATCACTAACAGGGCAAAGGTTTTCTTCTGGCCACTGCATCCAGACTGGCTCTGAGATCCATCCAATGGGTACCAGGGGTCCCTTCCCCAGAGAAACGGTGTGTCCAAGGCATGATGCTAACCACTCACACCATCTAGTGTTCCTGTCAAGATTGAGTAGGTTCTATACCTAATCTCACCCCAAGTAGGTCCATTGAGTGTACTGGGGCAGCTTTACATTTACTTTCTAAATAAACAGTGAGAAATTTATTTAAATGTTACTGTAGTAACATAGAAGCTAGGCAACATGTACAAACATGACCTTCCTTTTTATATAATACAATATTTTAATTGCCCACTTACTTCAATGTTCTTAACTACAGTTATTTCCCTGAGCACTTTGTTTTCAGACACTTGTAATTTATGTTCTTCCTCTGAAGTAAAAGACCATGATTCAAACCCACACAGAACTGACAGAATTATTGTTTTATACATATCTTGATCTTTAGTGGTCTGGAAAGCAGCCGTGAAGTTTATTATCTATCTGAATAGTACTATCTCCTCATTACAATATTTCAGAGTTGCAAAGAAAATATATTTTATCGAAAGTTTATGGAAGTGTCTTAATCATTTGCAGTCAAATTATGAGATGGCCTTGAAACCACATTTCATTCAAGTGGGTCCCATGTTAAAACAACCTCAATAATCACTACATTTAACATTTCTGTTATTATGTGGGGCCTGCTGTCAAAGAAAGTCATAGAAACTTCTCCAATAACAACTCACATATGTCATGGAAATTTTCACATGGTACTGAAAGATTCACTTCAAAACAAAGCTATGACTAGTAAACATTTTAATAAAATTACAACTCACATGAAAAATATTATGTTGGTAAAATATGTGTACAATAACTGCAAAAATCATGCATATATAAAATATAAGTCATACCTCATATTGAAGGAAGCAGTCATGGCCTAATTTAATTATTATTCCAATATCTGTATTAAGGGACTGAGAAAATTATGAATCTTAGGCGGGATATTCAACACACATTCTGTCTTTGATATCATTCATTTCCTTTACCTTGCAATACGTAACTAGAGCAGTGGTTCTCAACTTCTTAGTGCTATGGCTGTCTTTTGATAATAAAATATTTCTGTAGTGTCCTTAAAAACTTAACAAAAACTTACATTTTTATGTGCTTATCTTTAATGAACTACTCTGCACGTAGAAACTTCAAGTTAAATTCAAACTTGTGTTGTACTTACCTAAAGTGACACATTCCTGCGGGAGTAGAAAACTGGTGCAATTTTAGAAAGCTGTGTCCTCATGATCCCTCATGTCCTGCTCAGTATTAAACTAGTTTTGTTTTTGTTGCTGCATATCTTGAGAACGATGTTTCACACAATATGCACAAGGAAACAGAAGTACCTTCTTCACACAATCTCTTCTTTCAGACCAGGCTAATGTTAATCAGAGGAATGCTTTTGTATGTATTTTTCAAACCTGTGTCTTTTGAAATGACAATTAATTCCTCATGTTGTTTAATTAATAATATTTGCTCTGTGAGAAAAACACAATCAGGCTTCCTGGAAAATGCTCAATCACCATAACCTATAAGTCTGATAAACTTTCCATTATGTCCAAGCAAACACCATCACTTATCCATTTCTGAACTTAATTAAAAAGAATCACCCAATATCATAAAATAATATGACATTTTTAAATGCCCGTCCTCCAGAGCTATGCATAAGAAGTTATCAGTTGGTTCATGTCTCATGATAACTATAACAGTCATGCATTGGAATGATAAACTTGGTTCATTTATCTTTGTAAGATATGCTGACCTCTAGAGCCACAAAGTCACACAGACATGATGTCACACATCAATTAGACTTGAAAATTCTGCTCTTGTAGTATGACTATGCAAAGGTTCGCACATTAGCACTTCATCTTCAGACTATTTTATGTATCCCACAAACGCAAGCAAAGCAGAAATACAGGCAACATCAACAGATTCACCACCTCTCAAAGCAAAATTCTGACTGCTTTAAACCCGCATTTGATAATACAACTCATATATTTGATTCTTATCAAAGGTGCAGAACTCAGAATGTAACTTTTTATAATCTCCAATGGTTATCACCAAGCACACATAAAACTTCCCTTTCTTCGCAAAGTATGATGAAATTTTCGGCGATGGGCTTCACCACAACAAGCAATATGACGAGTTACGCTGTATGATGTTTCACGAAATTTTTCATTTTAACCTTCAGTGACTGGTGTCTGATTAGTTCGATAATGTTTCAGTTCACCACTATCACGTTTAATAACGAGATAGGTTCGTCTTCGCAGTCAACATGGTTTGTATAAACACGAAATTGTAATTTTGCGGGAACCAAGTGCCCTAGTTTGGTAACCTAATACACACTGGGAATCAGGCGCACTGTAATCATGAACATCCGAATTGCAGATATCTGTCATAAAATTTACGTTCTTTTTGCAATTTGTCTTTAATATCTTGAGTACTTAAAACTTCACCTGTACGTGTTATCGTGTAACTGGCGTTGCTTTTTGTTTTATCTTTTTTTAATCTTCCCGTTCTGAGACAGTAGTTCATTACAAGGGTTCAAGAAAATAAAAACGTTACAATTCCCTGATACATAGACGTTATGCGAGTTTGGTAAATAATAAATGCTATTGTGTTTCCAGTCCTAACTTCATGAAAACTTGGCGCGAACAAGCAAAATGTATTGCAATAAGCATAATTTCAATTGTCAACAATTGAAATTACACTTCTTAGAGCTGCAGACGCCCTAAAAGCCATGCCAACACACGTGTTTTTTGCGCTGGGAGTACAAATAAGTCGACTGATAGTTTCTCAAAACCGGTATGGGTAGTGCGACTTGAACGAGTAATGTATCAAGTTAATTAAATTATTGTGATTGAATATTGTTGCATTGCGGGCTAACTCATTTACAGCACTTTTCCTATCACAGGGGTACTGAGGTACAGAGTTTGAGTAATATTGTACTAGGAGAATATCAGTCTGAAAGATACCAATTTCTTTGAAAATTACTATCATAACGTAACATGAGCCAATGAAAATTGTCCCTTGATAACTTGTATGTAAAAAGTGCTTCATACATTTTCACAAATCATCACACGTTTTTATCCTCAGCATTAAAGATCACCTTCATGCTCCAGTCACATTTTCCTGGTATGAGTAGGTTAGGTAAAAGGCTGGGTGGGGCCGAGCCAGTGCAGATGTTTTGGCAAAAAGGAAAATTCCTAGAAATAATCAAACCCCTGTCATTCAGTCCACATCCAGACACTTTACTGACTTTGCTATCCTAAATTTCAAATAAATTTTTATCAAACATTGTCCATGTGTGTAATGCCTCTCCCTCATTCTGAGGCCTTCCAATCTGATGGCTAGAATACTGCACAAAGAAACGTAATGTATTTTTTGTTTTAATAGAGAAGCACAAAATATCTTTTTGAATGGAACCATTCTGTTGAAAGTTACATCAAAAGGGATGTTGTAATCTGTAATACATCTCTTTCACTCTTTTAACTTCAAACGGTTCAGTACAGGAGAGCCTGATAGTTGCTATGCTAAACCATAATAATTCTCAGAATCACATAGACTCAAATCCCACTTCCATGCTACATATCAGCAGCTGATACAGCAGAGGTTCCCACAGTGTGGTCTGTCAGTTCCATTCAGGTCGTCAACGGAACAACTAGGATTAAAAATGAAATTTTAAAAAGATTACATAAATACACAAATAAGTAATGGACATGTGCCAAGATACTTGTAGAATAAATTAAATACAGTACCAACTTCTTTATTCTCATCTTCAGCATCTATAGCATAGCACATTTCAAGGCCGTTGACAATTTTCAAACAGTCACAGAAAAAATAAATTCAGGAACAACTGTAACAGAATGTCATAAAATAAATACTTGGATCAGAATGATGACTGTATTTTGGATTTTAGAATTGCGAGGTCCAAATAAAAATCAATTAGGTGATTTTTGTATATATCAGTTACTTTTATCCTTTACCTTACCTGAAGCACAAATTATGTTTTAGGCCCTGTCATATTTTTCAAAAATTCTGTGTTTTGTAATAACTTAGTACTTGGAATAAATTACAGATCTCATTAAGATCTCAAACTTTTATCAGGAACTATTTTTGTACACAACTTTAATAAAATATACATCAAATAATTTCTGACTTGTTACAGTGTGATATCTGTAGAGTTTTCTTTGCAGTAATGAATTTGTATTTGCAATAAATAAACAATATCAATGGTATCTGTAATATATTTTGAAAATACGAGTATGTGTACTACACTGAAGTACACATTTTCAAAGTTGTTAATGTTTACTGCAATACATATACAAACTACATTCTACCAATAACATCATTTCTCTTTACTTCGCCTTTAGGCGAAAGAAATAGCATTATTCATGGCTATTAAGTTCAGATATAGCCTGTATATTCCTTCAATTTCTTAAATTTGTCATAAAATACACAGTTGAAATATGAGTTGAAAGGTTAGCAAAACATGCCTGCACAACACAGAGGGCAGCTGTCTTAATGACAGAAACAATACATGTTGCAGCTAACTGCATTGTGAACACATCCCAGGTGAAGTGTCCTTTTCCCTGCAGGATAGCAAACAAAGACTATCTCTCTGTGGAGGACCTGCAACTCTTCCTAGAAGGAGAACAAGGGGTAAGACTTCTGCACAGTAATTACACTGAAGTTGCATGGCTCCTGCAAGACTGGACAGCGCACAGATCTACTAAGTCAGGTGTCCTGCAGTTTTCATATTATATTTATAAGTCACTATGGCTAGAGTGACAGTATCTATATCTTGCATCACAAGAGTGAAAAGAGCTAAGCATTAAAGTTTACATGGGTAAGTCAAATGAAAGTAGGTCAGACATGAAGATGTGCAACCTCAGTCTGTCTACCAATAGAATAGCTAGGACTTCATTTGGAGAGCAGGGTGTGTTTTATTTGTAAGATTTGAGGTTTTCACAGCGGTGAGTATGAAGATTTCTGTCTTCTGGGTTGTTGCGCTGTGTAGTCTGGTTGATGTTAACCAACGTTCATCGAACTGAAGACGGAGGCAATATGACCTCTGAAACGTTGGTTAGCATCGACCAGACTACACAGCGTAACAACCCATAAGACAGAAATCTTCTGTGTTTTATTTATTTATGGTTTTTACTGTCAATAACTCATACTGCAGAGTTTCAAATGATGGAATGATTATTGAACTTAAATGGATATGGAACAACAGAAAAGAATTCATGTTACCATGTATTAGCTAACCATGTGATGGCTAACAATCTGAACGATTAAAATTAAAAAGTATTCTGCCTTACTTTCATGGCTCAGTGGAATACAGCAGAATTTATCAGACGAAATGCGCCATTAGCCAGCTTCAGCTAGCCAGGCATTTCTAGCTGGCTAGTCGAGGCTTATGCTCATGGCAAACATTTCAAAGCTGAAAACTTCTGGCCGGGTGGCGTTAATGACTCATTTTATCTGATTGGTGTTCAAGTGTATGGAGTATTACTAAACCACAAAAGTAAGACAGAAGACTTTCTTTTTCAAAGTATTAGCCAGACTAACACAGCTAAGACAGTTAACATGAATGCTTCACCCCTGACATGGAAGGAAGTGGTTATGGCCTAATTTACTTTACTACTGAAAAAATCCTCAATGAACCTCAGTAAGGACAGCCAACCTCTGGGCCAAGATTTGAATTGTGAACCTCCCAAATTCAAAGCAGCACTTGGTTGCAACATTTGGTAGAGAGTTTTTTTTAAGATGAATCAACAAACACTAAACTTTATTAGATATATTTATGAATTTAGATACGTTTCTTATGTCAATACTGATTCCCTTGTCACAGAATACTTCCTTTGTAACTAAATTATGTTGAAAAAATGCTCACTTTGTTTCAAACATTTAAAAGTAGAAGAAGTGTGATCGCAAATGTGAATTAACACTGCACTGAAGGCCTGAAACATTTAATCTTTTAACATCATATAAGTATTCTTTAATGTGGATATATGTTAACACTGGTAAATCTCATGAAAAAAATACATATCTTGTTTCTGCCAAAAATCAACCATTTATGGGATGATATGCCACAAGCAGTATGGGTATTTTCTACTACATTAATGGATCTTGGGATATACTCCCAAGATCCATTCACTAGCTTGAAAGTAGGACGGTTTTTTGTAAATAAAATTACATCTCACTATTCTCAATGTCCCGTTTTTCCACACACATTAATTATCGTTCAGTGAGATCAGTAGCTTTTATGATTCTCTGTTGAAAGAAATGTCTTTGAGCCCCTAGAATAACATTTCAAATCAGATGAAATGTGATGCCTGTTTCTGTCATATATTTCATAGTATCACAAAATCGGAACCCATCTTTAAATGAAAATATTCATAAAAGAATATAAGCTACACAGAGTAAACTCCCTGTGTACCTATGCTATATATGTCTCTTTATTTTATAATGTAACATGTATTTACTTTTTATTTGAAGTCATACTGGCTTCTTTTGAAACCAAAATAAAATTACAGAAAAGTTTAGCAAACACTGATGTAGTACAATTTAGTGTGTCAAAGATTGCCCGCATGACTGACAGAAGGAAATTAAATTTTTAATTGGTTTAGAAAACATATACTTTAATTAAAAATTAAATCAAAATTGCATTTAAAATAATTACAATTTGTGAGGTTTTGTAGTAACCTTCTTCTAATACACAATCCTGTACATTAATGTGTTGGTTCCCATGGTCATATGGTTCAGATTCTGTAATGTGTTTATAATTAGAAGGATCTTTTATAATCTTAAACAGCCTTTGACTGTGTCCTGCTATACACATGTAAGTTAATTGTAGTGAAGAGTTTCTTAGTTTATTTAATGATTCTGTCAACTGCACAGGTTATATAACACAATGTGGCAAGTGACAGTATAATTATGAATGGTGAATTGGGAAGAATGTGGCAGGAGCTGGCCATGACCTATTTCGAAGTATTATAATAGACTGTGACAATGGCATAACCTTTTCTTTTATTGTGGTTGGTTCATGGGTTATTAAAAGACACTGTTGGCAGCTACGAGTGACATTGCCTAATTTTGTGTGTTAAAATTAAGTTGTTTAGCAATGTGTTATTTAGCCTTTCATTATTTGAAAGGAGCAGTTCTACCACATGAGAATATCTGCAGGCCAGTGAAAAGGCAGATAAAAATAACAAAGTACAATAAATATTGGAATAAAAGATTATGAGAAGGAGAGAAAATGAGGGTAAGAGAACAGCTGTGCATTTTAGAATGAAGGACAGGAAAAATGATATGAAAGGGGAGAGATAAAGAAAGAGCAGGTTTGGACATGGTGATGAAGAGAAAAATTCCTAATAACAACAGAAACAAACGCCAGTCATACAACACATAGCCAATCACCATACTGACTGCCATCCTGGCTAATAATCATATGTTCAAAAATACTTGGAAAAAACAGGGATTTTTCAGAGGTCTAGGCTTACTTCTTTATGTGCTTGTTAGATTAAAAATTATCGTGAAGCAAACTCACAGTCGAGATCTGCAATGGCCAGAATTATAGCTCACACTGACAAAGATGCATTAAGTTGTTGATACACACTAACAGCAAAGAGATGTTAAGTGTGTAAATGTTATACAATGGATTCTGGTTAATTGGGACACATCGGGACTAGAACACTTTGGCCCAATTAAGCAGCTGCCCCAATTATGCAAAGTTCCATGTAAAGAGTTAAGAATGTTTGTTATTTAAGATTTGTCTCAAATAAACGGCTGCCCCAATTAACCAATAGCCTGATTACCCAGAATCTACTGTATATATTTTTTCACTATTGTCTCTTCCACTGTGGGCGATGTACTGGCTTCACAAGAAGTGGGTGTGATAAGTAAAAATAAAACAAACTGACATCAGTTTAAGAATTCTGTTGGATATTAATGTTCTTCTTGTTGTTGATACAGATGTCAGACTTAACACAGGAGAAATGCATGGAAATCATAAATCTATATGAACCAACGACTGAAGCTCGTGTTAATGGACAACTACTTATTGACGGTAACTATGCCACAATATATTCTTGCATGCTTGTAATCCAAATCCTGCATGATACCTCACATTCAATGAAGATTCAGCCGATTGACTTGAATGAAAAGAACAAGAAACTGTTAAAGCATCAAGAAGATGAGAGTTGAGATTCTCACAGTGGAAAAGATGTCCATGGTTGTCTTCTGGGTTGGGATACCATGTGGACTTGTCATGGATATCAATGTTTTGGAGGAACATTTGATACCATATTCAGGGCTGATAATGGAAGAAGTTTGTTCCTCTAAGATATCAGCACCTACCTACAAATCCAAACAGCAACAAAACCCAAAAGACAATGATGGACAGGTTATTCTTCTCTCCAGTAGATTTCACTAGAAGACAGGAAGAAAATACATACAGTTTCTTAGCACCATTACCAAAACACAGCGCAACAACCCAGAAGACAGAAATCTTCATACTCACCATTGTGAAAACCTCACATCTTACACCAAAAAGTCAGTTTATGAAGGAGCATTTTCCAGGCATTTAGATCAGAAATGATTTCAAGGTACTTCATAACAAAGAGGATTAATCCTGGAAAGGTCATCATACACCAGATGAAACTGCAATTTCATCTCATATTGCTAAACCTTCGGACAATGAGACACTGGGAAATTTTAGGCAGTATTATCCAAGGAAAAGAACAGTATCTTATTGTCTAAAAAGTACAGTACATTGCAAAATGGACTGTTCTCTTTGTTATGCAACAGGTTTCACCAAGTACCTGCTGTCAGAAGAGTGTGACATCTTCGAGCCTCTTCATCGAAAGGTGTGTCAGAACATGAGGCATCCTTTCACTCATTATTTCATTTCTTCCTCCCACAACACATACCTACTCGAGGACCAGTTGAATGGCCCATCCAGTGTTGAGGGCTATATCCGTGCCCTTGGCAATGGCTGCCGTTGCATTAAAGGTGAGTGTGTTGAGTTCCACATCTGTGGACCCAAGAAAAGAGGTAATATTTTAAATAATATATTGCTGGTATGGAGGCAGAAACATTCATATCAACTACTGGAGGCTTAAAGACAATATCTTTCTTAGTATTAAGAAGGTTGTCTTCTGGGTTGTAGCACCATGTAGTATGGTAGAAGTTTACTGATGTTTCAGAAGTACTTGCTGCCTCCATTATCAGGGAAAATCCTGTGATGGAAAAATTAAGCACTTATAAAATGTTGGTAAACTTAATTAAATTTAACAAATGTCAAGAGTTCACAACAAAAACACTTGTGTTTGCAGTGGACTGTGTAGATGGACCAGAGGAACCTCTTGTATACAGCTACAATACTCTGACCTCGAAGATATCGTTCAGACACTGTATTGAGGTGATCAAACAATTTGCCTTCATGCACTCACAGTAAGTTTACAGCATAAACTAGTACTCTTCTTTAATAAAAGTACAAACAATTAGACACTTTAAATCTTTATAATTCTTGAACATGTTATGTTTTTCATCCTAAAAAATTCTGTCATCTCAGCATAGTTTATTTCACAAACCCTATGGACTCAGTATTTGTCTACAACCCAGTTTTATTTCAGGGGAGTCTGAAAATGAATGAAAAACATTACACTTACTTACTAATGTCCACAAATCATCTATAACGACAAACTAGCTAACCATATGACTCGAAAGTCCTTATTTGAGAAAGTGATAATCCCTTAGTTCCAATAATCTGCCTTTATGGAACCCAAAGGTTTTTTATGGCATTCACAAGAGCCTGTCAAGGGATCTATCCTGTGCCAGCTTAATCCAGACCACATTCTCACATCCTCTTTCTTTAAGAGGCATTTTAATATTATCTTCACCATTTATGCCTACATATCTCGAGTAATCTAATTCCTTAAGATTTACAAACCATGTCCCAGAACATTCTGAATATGAAAATTAACAGATTGTCAATCATGGATTTGAGCCCTTACTGAACTAAAAATCACCTCTGATGGTGAATCCAGTTTTCAACTGGGCTTCAGGTAGATACTGTTCCAAATCTTGAAGCATCTATTCCTGGAACTGACAATGAGTTATGACCCACAGGTACCCCTTGTTTCTTCACCTCGAGAATCACTGTAGCGTGGAACAACAGCATACTGTGGCACGCATCCTCAAATCTACACTAAATAAGTTGCTGTATATTCACCATGAGGGCAGTTCATGTGATGTAACCCAGATGAGTCCTCATGAGCTACGGTGGAAAATTATTCTTATGGTGTGTTATCACATTTCCTTAATTTTATATATAAAATGTAAGAAAGATAATTATAAACATGTAATAAACAAGGCATATATATGCATGCATCTAATAATTCTGGTAATTTCCAAAAGGGTAAGAAGCTGCCATTGGACTGGGAAGATGAGGAGGGCGAGGTGACAGATGAAGACGAAGGTTCTGAATCTAGTAAGAAGAAAGAGAAGCCAAGACGAATTTTACTGTGCAAGGAGCTATCAGATCTCATCAGCCTGGTCCGGTGTCACTTTGTCAACTTCCTTACTTCAAGAGAGATTCGTATGTTAATTTATAATACAGAAATACAGTGTATGCATGGCTTGGATCTTCAAGTGTCCATGCATATGTGCATAAAAGTAAAATATTTTAAATCTATTTCATTTCATCAGTTATTAAATGTGATCCACTGTATACGCATAGCTCTGTCACAGCCATGTAGGCTTATGGAAGGAGCAATATGAAGTAAGGAAAGTGTAAACCATTTTACATTAGTTGTTTTCTGCAGGTATCTGACCTCAGTACTTCTTAATCTTGAAATGACATTGTGTTTTATTTTAACCCTCTACATTTCAAGTAATTCTTTGTCAATATGAGCACACGATAAAAGACTCCATCCTGACAAATCAACAGACATCATTACATATTTACTTTGTATTGACAGTTGAATCTAACATACTTAAAACATTCTCTCAAAATTCTTATGTATTATGGGAATTTGATGGCATTTGAAAATGGCTCGAAAATGTTCTCATACCACAGTTAGACGAAGATGACCAAAAAGGACGCATTCACTTCCAGCAAGATGGCGCACCACCTCACTACCTCACAGAAGTCCGGGATTTCCTCAATAACCGTTTCCCAGGTCGGTGGATTGGTCGAACAGGGTCGATAGCATGGCCACCTCGTTCTCCAGATTTGACACCTCTCGATTTTTTCTTATGGGGTTTCATTAAAGATCGTGTGTATGTTCCACCCTTACCTGCCAATCTCACTGAGCTCAAAGCTCGAATCCCCGCCGCAGTTGCAGAAGTGACACCGGATATGCTGGATCGTGTTTGGCAAGAAATTGATTTCAGGTGGGATGTCTGCCATATTACCAATGGCAATCACATCGAACCAAAATGACTGTTTGAGGTAAAACTTGATTTGTTTTGCTACAAAATGACACCTCAACTGATTCTGTAAGCCTTCTGAATAAATTTCTATACACTTCCAAAGTTGTAATGTCCTTTTTGAATCACCCTGTATAACTAACAATCATAAAACAAATAAAAGTAATTTAAAAGGAATAAACTAAATTAAAAGCAGATTAAATTTGAGGAAGGCTTGCTTATATGCAGTCTAGAATCTTTTGTCTTACCATCTGCTATCTAAAAATGTTTAAATGAAAACATACAAAACTGTAATTTTACCTGTTATTTTTCAGTGGTGTGAAAACATGGTCTCATGTTAAGGAAGAACATAGATTGAGAATGCTTGAGAACAAGGTGCTGAGGACAATACAGTAGACCCTCATTATACCATGGCCATCAGGGGACGGCTTCAACACCTGCATTATAAGTGAAAACAACATTTATCTAATTTTTAAATCATGAGTTTTATGTATAACTTACATAGTGACTAAAATACACTAAATTCAAGACATACATTACATATTTATTGATTCTATTGACACACATTACTGTAAAGTACAAATATGTTATCTCATTACTAAAATGGTCACATATTTAATTTGTCAGAAATGATGATAAACTTTATCCCTTTTACCTGCATGATTATACAAGAAAATGTGGCTGTACAGTCAACTAAATAATTTGGGCAGAAAGTATGGAAGCACAGTCTTACAAATAAGTTAAAACATATTTTGTACCAATTTCTATTAAATAAAACATAACGCTCTTGAAGGATATGATCATACCAATGGTATATCTGATTCCACAGTATAATGAGGGTCTACTGTATTTGAATCTATGATGGATGATATGATAGGATGCTGGAGTAAACAGTATAATGAATAGTTCCATAATTTGTACTCTTCACCAAACTTTATGAAGATCAAATCACAGAGGATGAGAATGAGATGAGCAAAGCACACAGCACACATGGAGAAGATAAATGCGTACAAAATTTTAGTTGGGAAGCCTGAAGGGAACAGAGTACTCAGAAGATCTAAGCATAGACAGCAGGGTAATATTAAGATGGTTCTTAGGCAAATAGTGGGGAGGGTGTGGATTGAATTCATGTGGCTCAAATTAATAGCTGGTGACAGGCACTTATGAACCTTTGGGTTTCATGAAAGACAGGGAATTTGTTGACTATCTGAGTGAGTGACTATTAGCTCCTCAAAAAGGACTCTGCTTGATGGAGTTAATTACTTAGCTAGTTAATAACTTGATATTATTCAAATAATTGTTTTCAGAAAGTGCACACCACAGACATTCAATTACTCTACCAACTAAAATTGAAGACAAACAAATATAATGCAATGAGAAAAGAAAAACATGCAAAGAATGTAAAAGAATAAAAGATAATGGAAAGAAACAGGTGGTTATAACTGACAACTTCATGTTGGTAGCTATAGTACAATTTAATATACTTACAGACATTCATTACTTTCCAGATCTTCTACAATAGCCCTGACTATTACCACTGTCTTTATTAGAAGCCAATAACAGACTTGAAAGGAATCATATTCTTTCCACAGAAACTCCAAGAGAGATGAATTCAATCAATGAATCTGCAGGCAGTGAATTGGCCCATTCTTCTGCAGAGGATTTCACAGACCACAACAAAGCATTTCTGACTCGCATATTTCCAAAAGGAAACCGGGTTGATTCAAGCAACTACAATCCACAAATTTTCTGGAACTGTGGCTGCCAGTTTGGTAAGTATGAAACTGAAGATCTACTTGGGCTATCAGCCACGTCAGTTGGTTGAAAATCTGTGTTTCAGTGACCAGCTCTGTCCCCATCATCAGGGTTATGACGTAACAGTCCATCCAAACCACCCCACATACATACCTAACCAGCGCCTGTGTTTGAAGCTAGTGGGTAGAGTAGAGTCAAGTGCTTGCTTAGCTTCACCTTGCTTCTGGATTGGTATGTCTGTATATCATTTAAGCATGTTAGTCACCAGGTACCAGGACTGAGAGAGTGTACCACCATCCCCGTAAAGTTTTTGGGAATTCAGAAAATTGATGTTACAATGTGTTTAATTTTTCAGTGGCTTTAAACTTCCAGACACCAGGACAAATGATGGATTTGTATGATGCAAAGTTTAGGCAAAATGGTGGGTGTGGATATGTGCTCAAACCAACTGTCATGAGAGAACAGGCCTCATGCTTCAGTACCAATTCAAGAGATTTATTACCTGGATTTGTACCACAGTTTCTTCACCTGAAAGTAAGAATCTTTAGCTAATCTTCTGATGAGTGCACATAAATTTATGTGTAGATGAAAATGGACAGCTGATAATTATTCTTGTGGTTAAGGAATTCCTTGCTTTTGTGGAACTCAAAGTTCATCACTGTGCTCATAAAAGCTCACCACTAGACCAGATCCTGGCTCAGTTAAATTCAATACACATCTTCATACCTTATTTATACCATATCTATCATAATATTATCCTTTCACCTATGTCCAAATTTTCCACATAACTGTAAGTCATATAGTGTTTGTAATTAATCATAAACTTTAATTGCCCATCAGTGCCTTCATGACATTAGAAGGGTAATAAAGCATCTACTGTAAATAAATAAAGGCGTCTGAGATCAGGAAATCTGACAAATGCATAGAACCAACTAAATCCATGAAATAACAAAATGGATCCACATTTCAGATCATTAGTGGGCAACATTTACCTCGTCCACGTGGTTCCACTGCCAAGGGAAATGTAATAGACCCATATGTGGTTATTCAATTGCATGGTATTCCATCAGACTGTACAGGTAAGTGATAACAGCATGTAATACTTCACTTGCAAACCAGCATAAACACACTCAGATCATTTGTGAAATGAAATTACCAGGCCACAAGCAGATAGCATAGCTTACAATCTAGTGTAAAATTGTATTCATTTGAAATAATTGAAAGAATCCCAGAATCTGCAGTCTAGTTTAATGTTGCACTGTTTTGTTATGATCCAAGAAGATTTTATCAATTACATATAGATCACAACTAGAAACAAATTGTGTAAAAATGAATTTAACCACAGAGGTATAAAAGATTCATGATACAGTTCTTTAATAACAGCATCGACATTCATTTCACCTCCTACTCCTTCCTGATCTTCTTCACATATTCTATAATGGTGTCTAATCATGAGGCAACATATAAAATGTAAGTAGAGGTGACACTCATCACACACAGGGGTTGCATTCCTGAAAATCACAACATATATAAAAAACCATAAAATTTGACATGTAAAATGCCCATGAATTTTTGTGATAAACCATGAGAAGCCTTAATTTGTAGTCCCCAGAGTAAAAATGGTGAGGCAAGTCAGTGAAACAGTATGTCAAACTCAGTATGCCAGTGGGCAGGTTTTACTGTGGCTGCAGATAGTACCCGATGCTCCTCATGATACTGTAATAAAACTGCAAATATGATAAATAACAGATAACAAAAGCACATAATAGGAATCGCCTGTATGCGACAATGCTGTACAGTAAATACTTTTGCTTAAAAATCTCTCCCTAGCAAATACCTCCATATAATAAAGAAAGTCCTCAGTTCTGGCAAGCATAATACAATGCAGTACATTTATGTAAGCCAAAAGCTTTACATGAAGAGCTGGTGGTCTCCTGAAATTTATTTATAAAGCTTATTGTTGATCAGTGTATTAGTCCTATTATTTGGGAGGTTCCTGTTTCAAGCCTTAACCAGTACTGACTATTCCTATTCTAGTTTACTGTGTGTTGCCTTACCAAAAGGGATAAATAATCCAATAAGCCTTCTAAATATATCAACATATTCCTAGTGAAAAAAATTCCAGATCAAAAATTGTCATCCCTACTTGGCTAACATGAAATCATGGCTCAGCAATTGGCACTGGAGACATCTTATGCTTAAATTTTGGCTTAGAAACGAGTTATCCTGGCAGCTTTTCATACTTTTCTTCAGTCCCTTAAGACAAATTCCAGAATACCTTTAAACAAACTACAACTGCTTCCTTTTGCATCCTTTCCAACTCATCATTCACAATTCATGTTATCATTCAATGCTATACAACATGTACACTTGACAAAGCTAAATGAATAAATAAACAATCAATCTTCAATCAATCCTATTTGGCTGAATTACTGATCCAACAGAATGTTTCTCATGACATATAAAGCTTTAGACACTATGATACTCCACTGGAAAAATTATGAAAAACTAATTGAATCAAAAGTTTGCTACAATTAAAACCAATTTGAAGTTAATTACCATCTTATCATATATTAATGTCACCATTAGACTTGAAGTAAAACAGTGCAACATTAAAATTTAAAAAAATATCATATCCATTCAATTTTTGAACAGAGGAATGTGGTCATTTTCCATGGAGCCCTTCAATTTTCAATGGATGTATTGCACTGCAGAGCGGAAGACAAAGACAGTGTCCAATGAAGGCAACTGCCCAATATATGATGAAAGTTTCGAGTTCCAAGTCATGTTGCCCGAAGTTTTGCTGCTTCGCTTTGTTGTTCTGGATGATGAATACATTGGTGATGACTTCATCGGCCAGTATACAACCCCATTCGATTGTCTCCAAACAGGTAGTCTCTCTATAATGCTCTATTTACAAAACAAAATGACTTTACAGCCATTAATGCAACTTAGAGCTTTTACCAAATAAATGTATTATACTTTTAATAAAAAAAACAATACCACACACTTTCAGAGTGTAATTTTGTTCCGTTTATGTTTAACTTTTAATACATGTTTCCTTGCTGTCTGTCACAAATAGTGATATATATTATGCAAGATTTTACGGTTCACAAAATATATACCTTTGCATTTACATGATTACGCAACTTTTAATATCCATGCTTAATAAAAGATCACAAATTAAGAAGAATCATTATATTTGAAGTCACCAAAATCAGAAATGTTGATAATTTCCTCTTTAACACATTCATTGCCAAAATGATTCTTCCATTTATCACATGATTTATACCTGCCAGCACAAAAAAGAAAAATCATTGATTTAGCATACCTTTAGTTATAAGCCGTAGCACTTAATCATAATGTTTTGTAATGCCTGGCAGTTAATGTGTAAATTACCTTTGTGCTTCACAAAGCCCAATCTAAATCAAGCAACAAACGCTGCACTTTTAGTCTCTCTCTTCACTTCAGGTTACCGCCATATTCGCTTGTTGTCCAACACCGGGGAGCCCCTAGAAAACTCAACCCTGTTTGTTCATGTGGCTATTACTAACAAAACAGGTGGTGAGGTGAGTACAGCACACATTATTTTATGAGATGAATACTTTATCTCTTCATGAGTGGTATGTAGTTTTTCACCACATTTTGTGATGGTCTCCACTTACCTCCACTTTACAGAAATAAAGATATGAAGGCCTGATTGGCAATAACTTGAATCCTTCCATGTTTGCCTTATAATTTTCATTCTCCCTTTCAGTGACTAATGATGTTTATATCTATAATTTATATGTTGTCACTCAATTTAATGCTTCGTTCGTTTTTGTTATTTAGAACAAGCAGCCATAATATTATTTTCTAAACCTTCACCTTATACCTTCCTTCAATATGAAATATCTTCCTCAGTGTATGGCAAAAAATAATTACAATGTATTAATTTTATATTATTCTTACAGAAATGCATAAAGAAGAAATATAAACCAGAAAAAGTACAAAGTGAACTGCATATGGTTGGTATCAGACAAGTTGATGACATACTTCGGGTAAGTTGTCTAATAAGTAGGATTTGAGGTTCTCACAGTGGTGAGTACACAGATGGCAACCTAAAATTTCACACCATTTTGATGGACAGGAAACGTCACAAACATTAGAAGCAGCTCTCAAGATCAGGCAAAATGCAGATGCTGCAATGGAGGATTTGAGGGCAGAATGTGGACTTGGTGACACAGCTAACATGATACAATGCCTCCGAGTCTTATTGCAAAGGCTATCTGCCAGTCCACATGTCAACTCCATGACAATTCATGATGAACATGGGGTGAGTACAGATTTTAATTATTTATATTACTGCTTCCTACATCGCCACTAACACCTCAAAAAACTTCCATGTCTGGTATTTTGGAATTGTTAATGTAAGGATTTAACAAAATGATGTCAGACAAATCCCTAGTCATTCTTCAATTCAATTCATTCAGTTTTCTAATCGGTCCATCTAAAGACAAATGGGATTTCTTGTTTAATTTAAATATAAAATCTATTTCAGAAATGTGTATAAATGCACCTTTTTTAAAGTGGGCCTATATTATTCCAATAACATAAGTATAATTAAACCATGACAGAACAGGCAATTAAGCAATTAATTAAATTATTAATATTGGTTTTGCTTATGTGTGATTAAATGACTGTAAACACAAACCTATTAAACATGAAATCTGGATGTGGAGCACTTGTGGCCATTTTTAAGATACTATCACAGTAATTTTATTGAAGCAACTGAGCATAGTCATAAAAACTCGGCTGAAAATCAAATCTATGACTCTAGAAACATGAAGCATAGTACCCATAATAGAAATCTAGTGGCATTTTATATAAAATTTCAAAACATTTTTTAAAAAGTATCAGATATATGCACAGACATCACCCTAGATGACCCTCTTTCCTTCTGCAGGAACCAATTTAAATATGAATATCTTCATTACAGCTACCAATGTTAAAGGTGGATGCACCAAACATGCCACCACATTTGCATCGAGCCACCACGACCTTTGAAAGAGTTATTATTGAATTAGGGAATGTGGGTGACAATGCTGATCGCTTTGTGGACAAGATGAATGCTCATTTATCAGCATTACTGGAAATGCATGAAGAACTTCCATCTATAAGTAATATCAAGAGCAAGAAGTACAATCGCATACAAGACAACTATATGTGGAACTTACGCATCTTGCGTGGTCAGCTTGACCTCCTAGAGTCCTGCAGGAAAGACTGTTGGCAGGCTCTTGCACAGGTAAGATATGTCTCTTAACATCTTCAGTGGAATGGTAAGACTTCAACATCAGAACTGTTTCATAATTATGTTAGAGCAGTCTTATGGTACGGCCAAGGTACTGATAAGAACCTAAGACAGAATTGGGACAACAAATGAGTATATAGACAGCTTTTCATTCCTTCTTCTTTACAGTCTACCTTTAGTAATGTTTCAGTCATCATAACTTTTGTACAAAAACAATATTTGCACAGAAATCCTTTTGAAAATGAACACATATTTAGGGATTTAAGAATCTGTATCTGAATACAATGTATCCAGCAACTTGTTCACTCTATGGTACAGGAACTTCTTTGAAAAGTTGAATGTATACTTGGCCTGTCAAAGAATAGCCCAATTTATTTATGGTTCATTACCGTGTTCACAAAAGCCTGCCACCAGACTTTATCCTGAGCTAGCTGCATCCATTGATTCCTATCTCCCAAAGGTTCATCTTCACATTATCCTCCCATCTACACCTTGGTCTTCCGAGCCGTCTACTCCCTTCAGGCCTTACAACCAATACCTTGTAAACTCCCCCCCCCCAATTGTGAAGCATGACCCGCCCACCTCATCTTCCTTGATTTAATCGCCCTGATAATATCAATTGAGGAGTACAGGTGTAGCCAGGAACTACTCTATATAAAACATAATACGTAAGGATATCTGGCAGCTATACTATGGCGTGGTCTTTCTGCGATGCACAAACACTACATTGGTCAGCATCTTTCCTAGTTGGTCACCTGTGATGACAGTGAGTTTGCAGAAATATCTAAATTTACAGCATAAATTTATTCATGTCCTACACATAGGAAATCTTGAAAAACAGTAACATGTAAATGTTATAAAGAAATCTAATACCACTTACTCTTATTGTTGCTGACTCACAAAAACTGATGCAATGAACCCACACTTCAGAAATAGTGGCTCTGGTGTAAATAAATGTCAAATATCCTCCTCGTATAAGATAAAGATAAATTGTCTTTCAGGTTCAGAGTACTGCAGCAACAGTTGACAACTATAACAGTAAAGACAGATCACCTAGTATCATGCGTAACCAACGTAAACTAAACTTTTTCTACAAGCGACAAAGTATAGACACGGGAGCTGTGGCTGGAGGAATGGGGGCAGGACAAAGTCCCACCTCGCCCATACCAGTTGACATTAAGCCAAAAAGCATACTGAAGAAGTCCAATTCAAATGTGGAACAGGAAAGTATGGTACAGGCCAAACCTCTGTCACCCACCAGTAATGACTGACTGAAGTCCTAGGTCTCAGAATTCACAAGAAGAGACAACTGAAATATTTCAGCCAGCAAACAGATGTCAACATTGTGCCTTGTAGGCTAACTGGGTGAATGTGCAAGTTAAGCCTGTATTTAATTTATACACACATCTCCGAAGGAAAGTGAAAAAAATCACATAACTGCATCCAAACAACTCTTATATTTTTGCAGCAGTGATCAAGTTTAATTCTCTTGTGATCTGACAACAGAAGTTTGAAATTTGGAAGCAAAAGAAAAACTTCTATCATCATCATTCCTTGAACATTAATTTCACATTGAATCCCTGCATCGCATGAAAAAGGCTCCCATATAAATGAATTTTAAATTAAATGCTTCAGGAATGTTCAAAAATATAATTTTCAATTTGCTCTAAACAGTATCTGAGACAGGGTCTATGTAATTAACATGTTAGGACATAGAAGTAAAAGAAAAATTGTTTTTAACCCACGTTGGTTTAAACCTGTAACCTGCAGTAAGAGGATAAATATTTCAGAAAAAGTGACTCTATGAGAAAGCCAGAAGTAAGTGTTATCTTGTGACATTTGTCTTTCGTGCTTCCTAAAATGCCAGTGACCTCTAGATGGCTCTTACTTTCATCAGGAAAATATGAGCTCCTACCATTCAACATTCAGGACAACAAAATACAAGATAAAATTTTTTTAAACAAAAAGGTTCTCAGATGTTTAATCACCATTAACATACATCCAATTTACTCACATGTAACCGGTATTATGAAAAACCAAAGACTGAAGCTTACTTTCCCAATTATCTATTTGAAGAATACCATGGACATGCCTGAATATAAATTTCATAGCAACATGTCACAGGAAGTTTTAATTTCATTACTGCTTACTGTAGAAAAATTTCCTTCGCTAAATTACATATTACCCCTTTCATATTAACATACGGTAATCTGCTAGACTGACTGTGTTCATGTCAACTGAAGCAACTGTTTAAACGAAGGACATAATTTCATAATTTATTATTTTGGTGCAAAGTGTTTTGCTTCACAAAAGCCTGCCACCAGACTTTATCCTGAGCTAGCTGCATCCATTGATTCCTATCTCCCAAAGGTTCATCTTCACATTATCCTCCCATCTACACCTTGGTCTTCCGAGCCGTCTACTCCCTTCAGGCCTTACAACCAATACCTTGTAAACTCCCCCCCCCCAATTGTGAAGCATGACCCGCCCACCTCATCTTCCTTGATTTAATCGCCCTGATAATATCAATTGAGGAGTACAGGTGTAGCCAGGAACTACTCTATATAAAACATAATACGTAAGGATATCTGGCAGCTATACTATGGCGTGGTCTTTCTGCGATGCACAAACACTACATTGGTCAGCATCTTTCCTAGTTGGTCACCTGTGATGACAGTGAGTTTGCAGAAATATCTAAATTTACAGCATAAATTTATTCATGTCCTACACATAGGAAATCTTGAAAAACAGTAACATGTAAATGTTATAAAGAAATCTAATACCACTTACTCTTATTGTTGCTGACTCACAAAAACTGATGCAATGAACCCACACTTCAGAAATAGTGGCTCTGGTGTAAATAAATGTCAAATATCCTCCTCGTATAAGATAAAGATAAATTGTCTTTCAGGTTCAGAGTACTGCAGCAACAGTTGACAACTATAACAGTAAAGACAGATCACCTAGTATCATGCGTAACCAACGTAAACTAAACTTTTTCTACAAGCGACAAAGTATAGACACGGGAGCTGTGGCTGGAGGAATGGGGGCAGGACAAAGTCCCACCTCGCCCATACCAGTTGACATTAAGCCAAAAAGCATACTGAAGAAGTCCAATTCAAATGTGGAACAGGAAAGTATGGTACAGGCCAAACCTCTGTCACCCACCAGTAATGACTGACTGAAGTCCTAGGTCTCAGAATTCACAAGAAGAGACAACTGAAATATTTCAGCCAGCAAACAGATGTCAACATTGTGCCTTGTAGGCTAACTGGGTGAATGTGCAAGTTAAGCCTGTATTTAATTTATACACACATCTCCGAAGGAAAGTGAAAAAAATCACATAACTGCATCCAAACAACTCTTATATTTTTGCAGCAGTGATCAAGTTTAATTCTCTTGTGATCTGACAACAGAAGTTTGAAATTTGGAAGCAAAAGAAAAACTTCTATCATCATCATTCCTTGAACATTAATTTCACATTGAATCCCTGCATCGCATGAAAAAGGCTCCCATATAAATGAATTTTAAATTAAATGCTTCAGGAATGTTCAAAAATATAATTTTCAATTTGCTCTAAACAGTATCTGAGACAGGGTCTATGTAATTAACATGTTAGGACATAGAAGTAAAAGAAAAATTGTTTTTAACCCACGTTGGTTTAAACCTGTAACCTGCAGTAAGAGGATAAATATTTCAGAAAAAGTGACTCTATGAGAAAGCCAGAAGTAAGTGTTATCTTGTGACATTTGTCTTTCGTGCTTCCTAAAATGCCAGTGACCTCTAGATGGCTCTTACTTTCATCAGGAAAATATGAGCTCCTACCATTCAACATTCAGGACAACAAAATACAAGATAAAATTTTTTTAAACAAAAAGGTTCTCAGATGTTTAATCACCATTAACATACATCCAATTTACTCACATGTAACCGGTATTATGAAAAACCAAAGACTGAAGCTTACTTTCCCAATTATCTATTTGAAGAATACCATGGACATGCCTGAATATAAATTTCATAGCAACATGTCACAGGAAGTTTTAATTTCATTACTGCTTACTGTAGAAAAATTTCCTTCGCTAAATTACATATTACCCCTTTCATATTAACATACGGTAATCTGCTAGACTGACTGTGTTCATGTCAACTGAAGCAACTGTTTAAACGAAGGACATAATTTCATAATTTATTATTTTGGTGCAAAGTGTTTTGCTTTACACAATGCTGCTGCTGCTGCTGCTGCTTGTTTGGCAAAACTTGAAACAATTCTTTCACCAGCAGTTAAAATTCTTTTTATATCAAAAGGCAAAAAGATTATTTATATATGTATGGCATTTCAGACTCTCACAGCAGTGAAGTTGGTCTTCTGGGTAGTAGTTTCATGTGGACTTGCAGATATATACAAATAATTCAGAGAAACATACTGTCTCCATCTTCCATGCCAATTGTTTATATCTTCATAGTATTCCATACTTCAGTTTTGTCTCAAAGTCAGATATCTCTGTTAAAATCTCTTGTGTAGCTCTAAGTTTATTAGGATTTCACCTTTAAAAAATCTAATTCACACATAGAGAAAATAACAGTTAATTTTTACACACTTCTAGATAATGTAATTCACAACTGTTAATAGCATCCCACTTTCTGGACATTGAATTAAGCAGTAAACATGTAAATTAATATTACATAACCATATTGCTAAAGAATGGCTTTACCAAACAACCTGAAATGCAAGGTAAGTTTTTAAAACTACCTGTAATATTGTGTAATTGCATAATAGTGCATAACATAACACACAGCCAGTAAGCAGCAATGGAAGAAATGATCAGCAACAGCTGGCAGCCCAGTACATACAGAATATGCAACAAAGACTCTGTGATGACTGGGATAACCGATTGCCAGACTCCAACCATAGCCCTATTGGCTCAACCATGGACAAGAGCACAGTTTCAAGAGCCAGTTATGGTTAGAAATACAATTGGCAGTCATGTCACTCATCACATCTACCCTGATGATGGAGGCACAAAGTTTTTGAAACACTGGATTCTAACTCCATACTTACATGGCTGATCACCCAAGACTTCATTGCATTCAGTAACCATGAAAGCTTCAAACCTTATTCAATAATGAAATCTAGAAAACAGGATAGTATCACAGTTCATATAGATTAAGGCACACAATGTCCATACAAGCTTCAATATTTTGATTCAGCTAGAGAGAACCTGAAGTGGAAAAATTTCTCATAGGCAAACAATTTTAAGATTCTGCCTATTCTGTCATGTTACTTCCTTAATCTTCTTCAGCTCCTCCTTTGGTAACAGGATCCAAAGTTCCCTTACATGAAATCCATATTAGGACACCATCTTAAGTCAGCTTAGTCAAGTTTACAATCTATTTTCATAAGATCCATTTTAGTATCATCTTTCCAGATATTTCTTGGTCTTCCAGTGGACAATATCAATACAGTTATGGCCCTCAGATTTGTTCATTTTAAATTTAAGTCACAAGAAAATGTAGAGAAGACTTAACGTAAATGGATGTGTACTTATTTAGCACGAGATGTATAACAGACCTGACCAAACAGCACATTATTATACCCTCACTCCTAAATTTGGGGCTTCATCTCTGATACAGCACTTACCTCATTGTAACACTTCCTTCAACAGTCATTTAGTCAAATTAAGGGCTCCAAAACAGTATACTAGACTCATTCAAGAAATGAAGAAAACAAACTTATGTGCAACAGAATCCATTTCACCATTCTGATTCATGCTTAGATGTTACTTGGACACATCAACAGTTGCTCTGAAACACAGTAAATTATTTTACTAACAAATTATTCATTCCTAAAGAAATCCTCATTTAGAACATTATTTCTTTCAGGATAACTACCTTGCTTAATGACCTGTGATATTTTGAAGATGGTCATCTTCAGACTCACTGCCGTGAAAACCTCAAATCCTACTTGTGATATTTTCCTTCCTGTAATCCTGGCACAGAGGATGTAAAGTTTGCTGTGGAAGTACTGTAGATGTGTCTTGAAACCCTCTTGGACAATCAGCTGCATAAATACACAGTAACATTCTGATGTCTCAGAGAATGTCTCTGTCTCTATTGACAGAGACTGTAATTTGATGAGAGTCACAAATTAGGTGATATATGTTGATATAATGGACACAAGTACTTTTTGATCAAAAACTACCCAAAGACATAAGAATGACTAGTAAACATAAAACAATAAAGTGTTACATTACATTCCTTCTGGTTAGGGATGCAAGTATTCAAGTTTCCTGGTAGGAAACAATACAAACCCAATAAAAAACTGCTTTTATGAAATAAAAGCATTGTTTATAATTTTGTTATGCCATCTTCAAGCAGTTCTTATATACAAATAAAAATAACTGTCTCATGTACGTATATTCCCAAAATATGTAACTCTATTTTACAAACTAATTACAGTAGTCAGTATACCATAGAAGTGTAAACGGTTAGTTTAACTTAAAATGCCACTGAAATTGTGTAATATAGACTTAAAAATAATAAGATATAAAATATTTATAATCTATTGTGATAAATTACTTTAGTATAATTACTTTCTTCCTAATTATTGTAGGGTAGATAGAAATAATTAAAGAAATCTAGAAGATATGAAGTGTTGCAAAACACAAACACTATTTCTGTAACACACTTTGTACCTGTTGACCTAGTGCCAAAGAATATTAGTAAACTTAAGTGAACATGTACATGCTGGTTCACAATCAACTACTGACCCTATCAGTAACATCTTAACAGAAATAAAACTTAGAAACAAAATGGTGACTGTCATGGTTTGTAAAGTACACTTTGAGCAACCTCAAGACTTTGGTCTAATACTGTACATCCAAACTATTAAGCAGTGAGAGTAACATGAATACAGCTGATGGAGGGTTATGAACTGCTTCAAGTAAAACCAGATATATGAGAAGGGGTATTTTTCTGACAAAAGTGACTGCAAATATTTTACGCTTCTTAAAACAAAGTGCACTGAAGTCAGGAAATAGAAACTTACACAATCTCATGATTCTGAAAATACCACATGCCATTGGCATTTAAATGAATACCTGCTATGCCTGGAATGACCATTTAAAATCTGCACTATACTGTTCCATTAATTTTTTTACCAATCTTATGACAAAACAGAAGTTATATATGACTTCAGATCCACATGACAGAGACTTGAATCCTCAGATAGTATGACGTGCCAGCCATTTAAAGCCTAAATTACTTTAACTGGTTATAAGCCTGCTTCAATGTTACCCAGTATGGATGCCATCATAAGTCGTGTGTCTGCCTTGACATTCCAATGCAAGGAGGTTAATGCTCTTCCCAGATTTAATAATGCTTCAGCAGCCTGAAATATTTGCTTAATGTAAATGAAAGCTAGAAAGTAAGTATGCATTCACTAAAATACCACATTTGGTAACCCATGAAACAAGTTTGGGTAAAACACAAATAGAAGCTCTATTAGACGTCGATACCGAGTTTGGCTTAGATGCAAACACAGAAAAAAACAGACATGTTCAGGTCTCATAATCAAAATGCACGACAAAATCATAATATAAACACACCTAATAAATCCATAAAAAAGTGGCAAAGTTTGGAATGATATAACAAATCAGAATCACATTCTGGAAGAAATTAGGAGCAGATTCATTTCAGGGAATGCTTGCAACCGTTCTGTTCAGTCTCTTGTCTTCCCATCTTCTACTTAAAAGAAAGACTAGAATATATAAAACTGTATGTACTACCTTAAAATTCTCAAATATAACTACTTATTACAACATTTTTAATAACAGAATAATAGCTTAAACAAGTCTACCCTACATGTTTCAGCTACTTTCTGTCATCACTGTGAGTAAATAAAGCTGAGAAAAAGAAAGGTTATCTAGCTGAAGGTTTGATCCCAAAATATGCCTGGAAAAGTCTTGGTAAACTTTGGAAACCTGTTGGAATACCTGGTATCAGACAAAGATTTGAACCTGATACCTACTGGATACATGTCTACAGCACTACCACCACATCAATCACATACTGCCACAAAAATGTCCATTTTAAACAATTTGTATTCATCTACCCAGAAAACCAACTGTATATGTATATTTACCTACAGTGATCATAATTTTCAAGTCTCGATTACAAAAACATGTTTCCTAATATTACACTATTTTGTACACAGAATAAAACAATGAATTTGTTAAAGCAATTGAAAAACTGCTCTTCTTTCTTTTCTGATTCTTCTTCCATTTCCTTCAAATTCAAACTTCCACATGATCTACCTCTCTACCATCGTAACCCTTCTCAATGTGAACAGAAATTTAGTTCCTTAAACAGTGTTAACAAACTGACCTTTGTAATGGAGAAGTGTGGTGTTTTCTTTGCAGTATGGAATAATTCTTAAATATTGTTCAGACAAGCTTCGGCTTTAAACAGTTAAGGTTAATAATTGACACAAACACACTGAAAAATTATAATCCAACTGGTTTTAGTTCCTGAATGTAATGAAATATCTAGTGTGCATGATCAGTATACAGCAAGTAATTAAATTATTAAATATTATTGAGGCAAGCATCAGCTTCAAAGGGTTAAAGCAACAACAGGGATTTTGGCAGTATGACAAACTTGCCATGAGAGGTAGAAGCAAATCCTTTACTTTCATTGCGGCTTCTCAATCTTATTAATGTGGATAAATCATACACTTCATATTTATTCAGTCAACAAAGCCTTGATCTGTTACAGAAATTTTGGGCAATTTTTATCTCTCTACATTTAGCACTTTTTTTTCAAAATTATGTTCATATACACAGAGATATTTCTATTTAAACCTTCAATATGGCAATTTCAATTCAAAACAGGAATGGAAAAGTATACTCCAACAGAGTAATATTTTTGAGAGGTATAATGGAATTCTAGGAAAACCCTAACTGAAGAAAATTTATAAAGATAATTCAGCCATGACAAAAAAATGAAGTTTATTTTATTCAGTTATATTGTATTGACTAGCTGCATTTTTGTGTAAAATATGAGGAAAGAGCACAGTGTAAATTTGGTCAGAGTGTGGTGGCTGCAGTCATAGCATACTTCATACCACAAACTCAGCACCCACTTCAAAAGACACATGAAAACCAAAAGAATCTCCTCAGTCATAAGAGCTGATGATCTATCCAAGATATGAAACAGGAACATTAAAAAGACAATCTGGATGTGTTACCAACGAGCATAACCTGCTCAGTGAAAAACAATGGCAACTAAATGATGGTAAACAAATGGGATCCTTCCACATGGTTTATTACTGTGAAAGTTTAGAAAAATTACATGAATCACACAATATTTTCAGTGATTTAAAAACTACACCTTGCAGCCGGAAAATTATATGAAGGTACACTACTGACAAAGTATTCCACCATGCTTCAGTACAAGAAAATGAATTACAGGTAACTTCTTGGCATTCTAACAGTGCTAATCATTGTGGAGGAAATCTTCTTAGTAAAGTATTCAACTGCTTGTGTGTAAGATTCTTTTCACCTGGTATCAAAATGCCTTTCTGCTCCTGCCTTTTCTTTATATTCTTCTTGTTCTGTAACAAAATCAACTAGTATTAACACACAAAGTAAAGCACTCCTGTTTCATATTCAGGAAGTCCTGGGTTCAAATCTTGGCCCAGAGATCAGCTACCCTGACAGAGCCTATGATATTCTGAGCTGTAACATCATCCTCACAGCATCAATACAGAAGGCTAACACTGACATCTCCATCACCACCAGAACCTCAAATCACATATCCTGATTAAGGTTATTCATTCCCTCCAACTAAATACAAGGATAGAATGTTCATTCCATAACCTTTCTAATTAATTTATTCATTCTACTATTTGACACTATACAGTCCGAGTTATAGAATGTTAAATAGACCATAAATTAAGAAAACAGTTTAAAATTTACCTGAAAAACATTTTCTGTACTTTGAACAAATGTGTTGGTAATCTTTGTTCATATTGTAACATAATAAAAAATGTAATTTAATTGAAACAAGAAAGTCTTGCGAACTACAGTAAAAATGTGCCAACTTGGATACAAAAGGTCCAATACAGACTTTTCTTAAATAATATTTATGCTGTATTACTAAATAAAGTCCTTCCATAACCAAACATCACTGGAAGTCTTCTTAACAAAAGTAGAATGATTAGTGGCTGCAGGTTCTGATTATGTGCTATCACTGGTAACACAACTTCCATAGCTCCTAAAAACACCATGTATAGGTTATCTGAGGAGCTAAATCAAGCTAACAAATTTGAATATGATGTATTACTAGAACATAAAGTCTTCTCATCTAAGATGTTCTCAAGACATAAATTACTTTTTTCATAAACTTCCTACTCTGTTTCTCAGTAAATGCCTTCATATCAGACAATGAACCTCAGAAAAAAAATAAACTGGCATCATCAGCTATGTGTTGCTTCTTCTTTTGCACATGCGTACAATGAACAAATGAAGAATCTGCATCATCCTTCACTCTTTGCACACAACCTTTTTAGAATTCTTACTGAAGCCATCTTTCGCATGCTGTGTGATCAGCTTACAAATTATTTCATTGATAAACATCGTAAGATGTGTGGACATGGGACCGCCAGCTTTACTTCCCCTCCGACGGAAGTTATGCTATGGATTCATATCACCCATAAAAATCCATTGACCTTGGGCAGGTTTGAACCTGCGAACCTTGGGTCCAGTGACAAGCACATTAACTACTAATCCACCGAGGATGATATATAGTAAAAGTATATCATAAGAGGTTTTAATATTCTTACATTCAAGACTTTTCACTAGTAAAAGTAACAGTATGTTAACATTTCCTCTCTCACTGCTCCATAATTTAAAATATGTGGAGGAATAATGGTAAGCTATCAAGAATGTAATTATTAAAGCAGAAGACCAAATGACGATTCAAACATAAGCATCAATAAATGTCTTTCCTTTTTACATGTTGGTACCTGAAAGTCTTTGTAACAATTCTGGAAAGAGCTGATCTCTTTGGAACATAATTCTTGATTGAATTCATTGTTCTTGAAGCAAGCAAACATAATAGACATCTCATGTAAGCAGGCAACATCTGTAAAAGGAAATAAAATAGTGAAGACAATCGCAATGTGTAAATTTCTATTCAGTTACACAAATTATTTCCAAAGATTCCCTACAGTAGTAATGGACAACCCTCTGACACATGGCAGGTTCAAAAAGTTCATATAAGAATGTAAATTTTATGTGAGGAAAGCAATAATTCTTTTTATTATGAAGTTGTTGGTACAAAAATTATGTAAAATTAGAAAATAAATTAGTGTTAATATTGCATATGACTAATTCACAAACTATCAATTAGAAACTAATCACTCAGCTCATGGAATTACTTGAAAAGTTTCTTATTCTTCAGCTTCAATAACTTTAATGATTTTATGAACCCAAATTATTAATGTAATCATATAAACCTGCCAGTGGACCTTCTGAACCAGATGACTCCCAACCATACCACCATTGCATATTTCTGTAAGGTCCAGTTTAATGTTACCCCTTCCATCTAGAACCAACTAAATATATGGAATCTTTCTTAGGAAGGTAACATTAACACATTCTAAATATTTGGTGTAAAAACTGTCATGATTTGACTTAGAGTCATAATTAGGGTTCAGATGTAGAATTTATAGTTCCTCCTTAAATTGCCTATCAGACAAAAATAATCATATTCAACTTGTAGTTGGTTTTAGAAATATCTGCTGGGACCTTCACATACCAACTAGTCATGAAAAGATCTATTCTTGCTTGCCTGCACAAGCACAATTACTACTATTAAGTCTATTTTACAATCTTAAATTCTGTAATTAAAATTTAGTACAAACCACAAATAACATTTTCACAAACCTGAAGTTTTGTCCCCTTTTCCTGAAACTGTTTCCTTCAATCTCAATGGTAAGATTTCTTTGAAAGGAACAGGCTCTTTCTGTGGGACTCTGGCTGGAATTTTAAGGTTGCAGTTCAATCTCATTTTTAGTTTGATCTGATTAATATCCTAGAGGGGGAAAAGGACATATATATATATACATGCGCACGCACATACAACATTCTTTAACTAGTTTCAAACAAATTAAGTTTACATAAATTATACCACAAATACATACAGCGAGATGGAAACACAAAATGACACACAAACTTAACTAAAATAACAGCTGAAAATGAAAGACTACAGCTCTATGTCAACAAAATTTTATTAAAATCAATCACATAAACAGACTATATAAATATATACACATCCATTAACCTTATTAGATAAAACATACTCAGCAGAGGTCATGAATCACCCTGAAGACAGAAGCAGTAAGATCTCTGAAACGTTGGTAAACATCTACCATACTACGCGCTGCAACAACCCAGAAGACACCAAGAGAGTAACCATCTCACTAAGAATAGTCTCATTTCCTCCAGCTCATCACCAATCACCTAGCTGCTAAAATATTGGATGGTTACAACATCCTCTGTAAGTGTGGAAAGGTTTACACTGGACAGACTGATCATTCCACTGAAACTAGGGTCAAGAAGCACCATCATATCCAGCTTTATCACCCAGAAAAGTCAGCTATGGGCTAATACAGCATCAACATGGGCCATGACATCCTGCTAAATAACACGAGGCATCATGCTTCGGACCGGCGATACGGAATGTGCGCTGGTTCGAGTCTTGGGGGAGAAGAAATTTTCTCATGAGCTTTCGACCGGTGTATGGGACCAGTGCCAACCCAGCATCGTGAGGAAATTGGGGAGCTACAATGGGTAGCGTAATCCGGTCATGGAAACTAGCAATGGCTGGGGGTTCACACCACACGTCACCCTATATCTGGTTGGATGATAGTTCACCTCTGCTTAGGCATGTGAACGTGGGGCCAGCAGTCAAGCTAGTCGGCTTTGGCTCTCTGGAGCTGTTACGCCACGGATTGGATTTAATTTAATTTAATCCTACTCAGAGAAGCAACAGAGATCAGTAACCATCCTAACATCAATACCAAGGATGTGTTCTCCCTGAGCAAGTCATAAAAACCACTTGTTCACACCATGGAGGAATGTACAAAAATGTTCTCCAAGAACAAACCTTCCTCTTGATCCTACCTTCCATTCTGGCCCCTTAAAGGGGCTGTTTCACTTCCTCTCTCCTGACCCAGATCTTAACCTAATGGTAAAACATTCTGACACGTGATCCTATATACCAATTGTATTAATATACCTGCTCCCGTAGTCCACCTTTCAAATACTACAAGATAGGTTAGGTTAGGTTAGACGTACTTACTGATATTACTACACTGAACACCCACGCAAACAAACAACTTAATCTCGGTTCACAACCTAACAGTTTTCGAACTGTAACTCATTCTCCTCAGAGCAGGCATAAGGCATACTTCTTCAGTGTACCCAAATTAAAGGGAACTGAAATGGTAACCTATTTCCGAGAAGCAGTAACCACAGATGAAACGTAGTACAACGAGCATAGATAACATATTCGCGGAAAGAATTTCCCACTTCTTTATGGAACCAAAGGTGAGAGAGGTCGGTAAATTTCTCTGCGGCGTACTGTCATTAACAAATTTAAATGTTTCAGTCGTATATTCAGAAATGTCTGGAACTCAGCGGCTCGTCAGCACAAACGCAAACCACATACGAACCGTACTCTAGTCCAGCACAGCCACGGATCACATACAGTACAGCCACATAGTACAACCTAGCTCATGTTGTCAGCATTATTTACGCGTTTAACCAAATGATTTCAGCGCAGTGACGCAACCAAGGGTGGGACTGGGGGATTAAATCACCCTCTCCTCTACTAATACAACCATTCCTACTAGGGTAACCGCCCAGGGCTCCGAGTATCGACACCGCGAAACCTGCAGTGCTTCTTTGCACCATACTAGCTCTGAGCTTAGGAAACATCGTGTAGACCAGTATTTACAAACCAGGGTTCCACGGGTTGAGAAAGTTATAATTTTTTACTTTTTAATTTTGTATTGCTGCAAGTTTTGAGTTTTTTCAGTCAAAATTTTTACTGGAGTAAAAATATAAACACCTTTTACCTGTATTTATTTTTTTTTATTTTATTTAATCAAAATTAAATTATTTTGGGCAGGGGGTCCGCAATACTAGAAAGGTAGTGACCCTCGCATATAGACATGAACATGTTCTCTGATGCATCCAAGCTGGCTTACGAAACATGTGCATACCTGGCGACTACCGACGCACTGAATTATCCTGTTAACATTAAACTAAAATGTATTTAAGGAGTACTATCGGAGAAGAACGACTACATGGACTGTACATCACAAACGCAGATATCAACAACTGATATAGTAAAAGAATCTGCTATTGCAACCAAACAAGTTTTATACATTGTCACCTTCGAAAAAAAATGTTTCGCCCACCTTAATACTCGTGGTGACGTAAAAGTTAACCTTCATAGCCTGCTCAAACCGCAAGAAGAAATTTCGCTATTGCATATGGAACCAATGGCGATACCAAAATTGACCTCAACGCTATAATCTGATAGTCATTTCACTAGCTAAGTACCCGGAGCAAATCACCCTAATGTTTTCTAATGCCCTATTCAACAACGTTCTCCCATGTATTCTACGCGTAGTCCTATCTTAATGTAATTTACCCTGGGGTTTCTATTCAAAATGTTATATGCAGTTCTCGTTTCTCCGTGCTACAAATCCCAATCATCCATTCTTCTCGGTTTCATCGACCTAATAATATCAGGTTGATTGTCTAATACACCCATAAGAAATTGCGGTTTTCACGGTAAACACATAAATTGTGGTCTTTTGGATTCAGTTGTCGTATAGGTTGTTTACCAGCGTTTCAGATGAAAGACGATACGTTAGTAACTACCTACTACAACAACAACAACATCCATTTCTTTGCTAAGCCTTGTTAGGTAGGCAGATGTCAATGAAATGTTTTCCAGTAACTTCTCCTTAGTTCAAAATTATCTCGAAAAAACATTTTATTAACAGAGCACTGTTTCTCAACAGAAATGAAGAGCTTTTTTACACATTTTAACAACACTTCATAAATTTGGTAATAGTACTGAGATATTCACATATTTTCTCATCTCTTCAGTCAGCGCTGTGGTTTCTTTGTTAATTTGTTCCTGCCTCATTAGGCCTTTCGCATTTCGCATTTTTTCAGATGCTTGTTATTTTAATAATTCATTATTTGTTGCTAAAAGGTTGTCAAACCTGTTAAATTTGTCTGTTACAACAATACAGCATTAATAAAACATATCAAACATGATAAATATTTACATAGAATACGTATGAAATAAAATTATTAACCAGCTGAGTAATGGTCAAAGTTTTGGAACATCTTGCAAGCAGAAAACCGTACGTCGTCAGGGTGTGATTTATTAAAATACGGAAAGACAATTTCGTGACCCGGAAACCGACTCTCCTGACTGAGGTTCTTCGTCATTTTCCTCAATCAATCGAGATAAATGCCAGGGTAATACCTTAAAATAGAATACGACCATATCCTTAACACATTATAAATCGACTCTACTTAGTCTGGCCTACTAATAGCGTCTTAAATAAGTCATAATTACAAATCGTTCGGAACAAGTTCACAAAAGTTATTGATTCCTATGTTGAAACATTGCTATTATTCCCGTCCTGACCAGCCCATAGGTCTATTATTGTTAGCGAAGCAGAAACACTGAATATAAATCCCTTGCCAATAAATCAAGATTAATATGGAAATGTATATAAATATATTTAGCTTCCCCCAGGTTTTATGAATTTGGCTTTGTATCTCATAAAGAAATGCCCTCCCTTCAAGATGAGCGTCATAGTAGCGGTGACATCTAGCTTCGGTTCAGTAGTATTTCTATTCGGTTGCCTAGCAAAATGCAGTCTACTGGAAAAATTCTCCGTCGCTTCTGATGGCCCCTGCCTGCACCAGCCACACTGAAATATGAGCATTTCCATTTGAATAAATATTCAACCTTTCGAGCAGTGATATTAACAATATAAATCCCGCTGTCGTTGTAACTAGTTTTAAAATCGGTATCAGATTTGGAAGGTACCAGCAGCCAATTTATTCAAATACTGATCGATTCATCAATTAGTTATCATGAGTGCCGACATTCTTGAAGTTTTTTTTAAATTCACAGAGAATTCTGCACCAGAATATTAAAATAATATATGCATGTTTTCTAAAAAGCATTTTCCAACTTTGAAAATCATCACCGCAATGAAAATACTTTCTCAAACCGGAATCAAATTCCATCTTAATAATAATTTGATTTCAAGCACCATTTACAAGCAATAAACATATCTATTAGCCCAAATTAAGAAGTTTACACGTAACACGAGGAGGACAAAATTAACGGATCATACAGAAAAGTTTCTTTAGTAAAATTTTTTAAAATTAAATATTTTATATTATGTCGAATTGATACGAATTAAAATTAAATTCGTCTGATAACTTTCGGTGAAGACCATAATTATACTAAATTTATTTGAAAAATTTTATTAAGTCGGAGATGAAACACACATACGTCTGGATTATCCGTTTAAATAAAGCACAGGCTACACAACTAACGCCTGCGAGACCGACTAGACAACATGGCATACACCAGGGTCGGAGGGGTTGCATAACAAGCACGGGCAATTTGATCTCCTTAAATTTGAAGAGCGAAACTTCTCAGCTGATTTCGATAAAGTGTTTTCTGGGGGTTGGGGGTGTCTATATTAAATGTTGTAGGGCTAAGTTAATTTCGGTTCTTAACAGTCCAACAGTAAATTCTGCTTCAAACGAAACTCCGTCTTCAATTCTTATTTTAAATTCATATTTTCAATTTTAAAAATACAGTACAAATATTTGTGTGCGGTAAGATTAAGTTTATAGGCCTAGATGTAATGTCATTACATTAATTTTGTATCCGCAATAAATTATCACATATACATGAATTATGTAAGCACATCCCAACGTTTGTCTGCGTAGACGATAACTGGCCTAACGCCAAAAAACACATTTGAAAATGTTTATTCAGCGTAGGTAGAGCATATAATAAGGTATGGTATGTACTTCGGATATAGATTTTCATGGCTCGTAGAAGCTTACTGGAAGATTCTCAGTATGTTTCTAATACCAAAATTGATTTCGCTTAATATGACGTAACAGAGACTGGAGAGATATATAAGAAATACAGAACCCCGTAAATGAAATGAAATGTTGAACTCTACCAGAGTTGCTATACAGTGGCACCATAGCAAGCAATATTTGGGGCGGGTTAAAGATGTTGAAGGGTACAAGTGGGAGGGGCACATAATATGTAGGGTGGAGTTCAGTCTTGTTTAGCAACGCATGCGTGAGAAAGAACAGTTGTGGTTGGTGGCTGTTTTCATGCCTGTTGCTTTGGAGCGTGTAAAGGTAACATAATTCAAACTGAAAGGGAAGCCTGAGGAGGTTAGACGTTATGTGTAGTGTGCGCTGTGGCCCAGGGGACCCTGTGGGAGCCAGTCGCCTTCTCTATCAACCTCGTGTGAACCCAGGTGAGGGCCTCGTTCCATTATTTACAATTAGCACCTCTTCAACACGAAATATTGCTGTTTCCTCACAACAGCGTATGACACGTCAGAGTTATTATTATTATATTATTATTTAGTGTTCTGTCTGACGACAGATCCATATGAACAGGATCCTTCCATCCTTTTCTCGGACTGGGACCTGTTCATATACGTTCTTGGCAGATGATCCAGAAGTGGTTTGCCATTGCCTTCTTCTGTGTGTGAAGGGAGTAATTGTTGGGATGCCACGGAGAAAAACTCCGTGTTGCCTAGACCACGGCATT